TGTGTGCTGACATGGGGTGTTTGCTGACGTGGGGTGTCCGTGGGCTGACGTGGGGTGTCTGTATGCTGACACAGGGTGTCCGTGGGCCGACGAGGGGTGTCTGTGTGCTGACACAGGGTGTCCGTGGGCCGATGAGGGGTGTCTGTGTGCTGACGTGGGGTGTTTGCTGACGTGGGGTGTCTGGGCCGATGAGGGGTGTCTGTATGCTGACATGGGGTGTTTGCTGACGTGGGTGTCCGTGGGCTGACGGGGTGTCTGTATGCTGACACGGGTGTCCGTGGGCTGACGGGGTGTCTGTTGTGACATGGGTGTTTGCTGACGTTGGGTGTCCCTGGGCCGACGTGGGGTGTCTGTGTGCTGACACAGGGTGTCCGTGGGCCCATGAGGCGTGTCTGTGTGCTGACATGGGGTGTTTGCTGACGTGGGGTGTCCGTGTGCTGACACGGGGTGTCCCTGGGCCGACGTGGGGTGTCCGTGGGCCGACGAGGGGTGTCTGTTGACACGGGGTGTCCAGGGCCGACGTGGGGTGTCTGTGTGCTGACATGGGGTGTTTACTGACGTGGGGTGTCCGTGGGCTGACGAGGGCTGTCTGTATGCTGACGTGGGGTGTTTGCTGACGTTGGGTGTCCGTGGGCCGATGAGGGGTGTCTGTATGCTGACATGGGGTGTTTGCTGACGTTGGGTGTCCGTGGGCCGACGAGGGGTGTCTGTGTGCTGACACGGGGTGTCCGTGGGCCGACGAGGGGTGTCTGTGTGCTGACATGGGGTGTTTGCTGACGTGGGGTCGTGGCGACGGGGTGCTGTGCTGACATGGGTTTCCGTGGGCCGACGAGGGGTGTCTGTGTGCTGACATGGGGTGTTTGCTGACGTGGGGTGTCCGTGGGCTGACGCGGGGTGCCTGTGTGCTGACATGGGGTTTCCGTGGGCCGACGCGGGGTGTCCGTGTGCTGACATGGGGTGTTTGCTGACGTGGGTGTCCGTGGGCCGACGAGGGGTGTCTGTATGCTGACACGGGGTGTCCGTGGGCCGATGAGGGGTGTCTGTGTGCTGACGTGGGGTGTTTGCTGACGTGGGGTGTCTGGGCCGACGAGGGGTGTCTGTGTGCTGACATGGGGTGTTTGCTGACATTGGGTGTCCATGGGCCGACGAGGGGTGTGTGCTGACAGGGTGTCGTGGCCGACGAGGGTGTCTGTGCTGACACGGGTGTCCGTGGGCCGATGAGGGTGTCTGTGTGCTGACGTGGGGTGTTTGCTGACGTGGGGTGTCTGGGCCGACGAGGGGTGTCTGTGTGCTGACATGGGGTGTTTGCTGACATTGGGTGTCCATGGGCCGACGAGGGGTGTCTGTGTGCTGACACGGGGTGTCCGTGGGCCGACATGGGGTGTCTGTATGCTGACGTGGGGTGTTTGCTGACGTGGGGTGTCTGGGCCGACGAGGGGTGTCTGTGTGCTGACATGGGGTGTTTGCTGACATTGGGTGTCCATGGGCCGACGAGGGGTGTCTGTGTGCTGACACGGGGTGTCCGTGGGCCGATGAGGGGTGTCTGTATGCTGACATGGGGTATTTGCTGACGTGGGTTGTCCGTGGGCCGATGTGGGGTGACTGTACGCTGACATGGGGTTTCCGTGGGCCGATGAGGGGTGTCTGTGTGCTGACATGGGGTGTCTCTGGGCTGACGTGGGGTGTCTGTGTGCTGACACGGGGTGTTTGCTGACGTGGGGTGTCCGTGGGCCGACGCGGGGTGTCTGTGTGCTGACATGGGGTGTTTGCTGACGTTGGGTGTCCGTGGGCCGACGAGGGGTGTCTGTTTGCTGACACGGGGTGTCCGTGGGCTGACGTGGGGTGTCCGTGGGCCGACGAGGGGTGTCCAGGGCTGACGTGTGCTTTTGTGGGGTGTCTGGTCTTGGCTGACATGTGTTCTGCTCTGCTGTGGACCTCCTTTTTCTGTGCAGGCTCTGTTACATCGAGTAGTCTGCCACATCCGTGCCCTGGTTGTGCTGCCCACCAAGGAACTAGCCCAGCAGGTTTGTGGCCCTCATGCCCGCTTGTTGGAGGCCCCCCATGTATGTGATGGTCAGGGGACCTGCGTCCTAGGTGCTGTGCTGGGGGCCCTGTGCCAGCCTGCCGGCCAACAGCATGTGTTCCTCAGGTGAGCAAAGTCTTCCATGTGTACACGGATGCCACACCTCTGCGGGTCGCTCTTGTCACTGGACAGAAGTCACTGGCCAAGGAGCAGGAGAGCCTCACCCAGAGAACGTGGGTGCTGTGGGGAGCCCAGTCCTGGGGCCCAGCTGCAAGGGAGCAGGAAGTGAGCTTTCCTCCTCCTTACAGGACCAATGGCTACCGCTCCCTGGCTGATATTGTGGTGGCCACCCCTGGCCGCCTGGTGGACCACATCGACCAGACGCCAGGATTCTGCCTGCAGCAGCTGCGCTTCCTGGTAGTGCCCCACAGGTCCCCGCCCAGGGCTGCGGCTGGCTTCAGCAGGGAGCAGTCCTCCCCAGTCAGGGCGTCTGATCCCCGCAGGTCATTGATGAGGCTGACCGCATGGTGGACAGCATGCACCAGTCCTGGCTACCGCGGGTGGTGGCTGCGGCCTTCCGGAGTGACAGCCCAGCAGAGCCGGGTGGAATGTGGCAGAGGGTGCAGCCGCAGGCTGTGACGGCGGCCAGGTACTGGGCAGGGTCACCCCTTATGCCCCACCTAGCGGGAGTCCTGTGGGTGAGCATGGCTGCCATCATCCGCTTTTCCCCCAGCACTTGCTGTCCCCAGGTTCCACTGCAGAAGCTGCTCTTCTCGGCCACCCTGACCCAAGACCCTGAGAAGCTGCAGCGGCTCGGCCTTTATCAGCCCCGGCTCTTCTCCTCGGGACAGGCCCGCGGGGGCCCGAGGGATGGGGATGAGCAGGGGCAGGAGGGCTCAGCAGGGAAGTATGCCTTCCCCGTGGGGCTCACGGTGAGTGTGGGGCAGGGGTGTGGGGCAGGGTGGCCAGGGCCTGGAGCTCTGGCCAACCCCACTGTGCCCTTCCTCTGCAGCACCACTATGTGCCCTGCCGCCTTCGGTTCAAGCCGCTGGTCATCCTGCACCTGCTCCTGCAGAGGAAGCTCTCCAGGGTCCTGTGCTTTACCAACTCCCGCGAGAACTCGCACAGGTGAGGCCTGTGGCTTGTGGGGGCGCTGGAGGGGCCTGGGCCACGCCCATCTGGGGTGTCTTTTCTGTGCAGGCTCTTCCTGCTGCTGCAAGCTTTTGGGGGTGTGAGCGTGGCTGAGTTCTCCTCCCGCTACGGGCCAGGCCAGAGGAGGGACATCCTGAAGCAGTTTGAGCAGGGAAAAATCCAGCTGTGAGTCCCTGGCCCTTGTCCAGGAAGGCCTCTCGGGGTGGGAGTGTGTCCCTGTGGTGGCCAGCTGGGGTCCCAACAAGCTCCCATCCTCCCATGCTGCCAGGCTGGTGAGCACGGACGCGGCTGCCCGTGGCATTGATGTGCAGGGTGTGGAGCTGGTGGTCAACTATGATGCGCCCCAGTATCTGAGGACCTATGTGCACCGGTGAGAGCTCACGGCTAGGGACGAGGGGGGAGGACGCTGGCTCTGAGAGATCCTGGGGGTCACAGGCCACCCTGGCGTGCCCCTGGGTTTCAGTGTCGGGAGAACTGCTCGAGCCGGCAAGACTGGACAGGCCTTCACGCTGCTCCTCAAAGTACAGGTGCTGGCAAGTGGGTCTTGTGCAGGGTGGAGGGGGTGCTGCTTGGAGACCACTCCCCGTTCACCCTGCACTGCTCCCTGCAGGAGAGGCGCTTCCTCCGTATGCTGGGCGAGGCTGGGGCGCCGGAGCTGCAGCGGCACGAGACACCTAGTGAGCTGCTGCAGCCGCTGATCCCACGATACGAGGCAGCTCTGTCTCAGCTGGAGGAGACAGTCAGGGTAAGGGCAAGGCCACAGCGCGGCCTAGTGCTGGGCCCGGGGACACGGTGCTGGGGGCAGCACTGCACTAAGCCCTGTGTCCTTCCACAGGAGGAGCGAAAGCAGAAGGCTGCCTAGGCTGGGGGATCCTGGAACACGCGCGCACGCACACGCACACACACAGACCGAGCATCCTAAGTCTCAGCGGGCAGGAGTCCTGGCAGGCTGCCCAGGGAGGGCAGGAGTGCTCATGTTCTTGGCTGTGAGGCTCCTGTGGTGCAGGGCACAGAAACGGGCCTGGGGCTGGTAATACATGTGCTTCTTCCTTTTAAGATTTAACTTATTTGAGAGGCAGAGTTACATCTGCTGTTCACTCCCCAAATGGCAACACTGGCCGGAGCTGGGCTGGTCAGCAGCTGGTCAGGAGCTTCTTCCAGGTCTCCCACGGGGGTGCAGGGCCCCAAGGCCACAGGCAGGGAGTTGGGTGGGATGGAGCAGCTGGGACACAAACCAGTGCCCATAAGGGATGCCTGTGTTGCAGGTGATGGTTTTAGGCAATAGCATCAGCCCCAGTGTTTGATTGTATTCTAGTGCAGTCTGCTATGGTTCTATCAACGCTTTCCTGAGTTTGTGTGGTTGAGCGGGGGTCGGGATTACACGTGTTTCATCTCATGGAAGGTGTTTGGTTTGTTCCATTTGCTTGGTCTCTGAGACCCCCTTGGCTGTGGTGGATACACTTGCAGGCCCCAAAGCACCACTGTCACTCCTCTCAGTGGCCAGGCCCCTGGGGTGAGTGCCAGCTGTCTCACACCAGCCTGGCAAGCCCCCGCCCCCATACCCAAGAGCTCTGCAGCCAAGGGTGCAACAGAGCCCAGGCACCTCCTGCCAACACCCAAGGGCCATGAGCTCCCCAGAGCCGCCGCCACCCACCTGTCCTGTGGCCTGCACTGTCCTCTGCAGACACCAGCAGCGTGGGAGCACATGGCCCTTACCTCTCCAAGGACGCCAGAGTGACCACAGGCTCTGCCACCTCCCTCCCCTATGGAATCAATGTGTTTTATGACACCAGTGATGCCTGCTCTGTACCAGATCAGAAGAAAGTCTTGTATAAAAAGGTCATTTTATTTTGCCTTTTGGTTGGCAAGATACGGGGGCCCTTTTTAAAATCCTACTCAGTACAAACGCTCATGTTTACAAAGTATGTACAGCTTCAGTCCTGTTCCTTTAGAGCTATCTAGTTACAACAGTGAACAAAAAGAACAAACACTACCGCGGATGCCCCTGCCTCCTGCGGCCATCGAGGCCAAGGAACCTGACTACATCCCGTGTTCTCAAAACTCGCGAGGACAACATCATCTAAACACAATTCTTAAATAACTGGGAAGCTGAACCTTTAAAACAGGCCAGGGGAACAGTACATGGGGGAGGGGGACATTGACAAGGACATTGAGCGCCCCTCAGTGACAAGACAGGGACACTGTCCACACTGCAGGGTGCAGCTGCTGTGTGGGCAGGCTGAGAAGCCCCAAGGTGAGCCAGCCTGGGTGCTGCCATCTTGCTGTCACCACACTGCCGTGGTGTGGTGTGTTCCCAGCCACCGAACCTTCCGGATTTCTCCTTGGGGGCTGTCTACACAGGCTGTGCAGGGAGGGATCCTGGAAGACAGCACCCTCTCAAGGCTGCCAAGGGGCGTGACAGGGAACAGATGGGATGACGGCCCTGAATGAAGATCGAAGCATGGCCCAGCGAGACCACCGAGGCCACGTTCACTCTGCGGAAGCGTGACGGCAGGCCACAAGCCCCTGGACTGTGTGCAGGTGGCAGACGCTGGGCACACCAACTCCCCATGGCCTGGATCCAAAGCCTGGGGCTATCAGGATGCGCTCAGAATTGCTACCTCAAGTTTCCTTTAAACGAAAACGAATTGCACCCGGGCTGCAAGAGGCATTTTCCTCAGACCCAGCAGGAGTGCGTCCTGGGCGCAGTGGCACTGAAAAGCCCGAATAAACCACGTCTGCTTGCCTTCGGTCGGAAGGCCCACTGCAGGCAGCTCCTTGCCCCGGGGACAGTCGTGGTGGCCCTCCACCAAGTTCCTGGGATGGGGTGCCCTCTGGCTACTGGCAGGGAGGCTTGGTGGGCGTCTTCAGGCGGACTGCGGGGACCCTCATGTGCAGCTTGGGCTGCTGACTGGGGCTGTCGGCGCCTGTGGGCACCTGGGCGGGGCTAGGGCCGCCTGGAGCCTGGAGCGGGGCTGACGCTGAGGTCACCACCTGCTGCTGGATGAGCTTCTGCTGGACTACCTGGGCTGTCGCGGTCACCGCAGGGATCATCTGCACCTGTGGCCCGGCCGCCGTGGCCTGCGTCAGTGTCACAGTCTGTGGGGAAGCCTGAGGCGAGACAGAACCCCTAGTCACTGGGATGTGCCAGGATGGAGATAATCCCCAGTAAGGACCTCTAGATATGGTGCCAAGTGAGGCACACCCAGCCTCCTCCAGGTCTGAGCGGTCTCTGTTAGCATCAGGGGTAAACCCAGGTGGTGTGTCCATCCCAAGGTGACATGCTCTTTGTCGTGAAATCGGAAGCGATTGTTTCGTCGGGGGTATCCCAGCTCCCCCAGCTTGGGCCCAGTCCATGTCCTACCTGCTGGGAAGCTGAGGCGACCTGCTGGATGCCAGCCACAGGCGTCTGCTGCTGGACAACTGGAGGCAGCTTTGCAACCTGTGACAAACCAAACTCATAAAGGCCCAACGTAGAATTCCAGGGAATTTTCTTTTCCTTCTCAGTTCTTGGCAGACAGCAACCAGGACCACAGGCGAGCTCTCCCGCAGCAGTGAGAGGGCACTCACGTTGGTGGGAAATACCTTTTGCTAAGATCGACTCGAGGGGCCCGGCACTATGACATGGTGGGTTAGCCGCTGCCTGCACAGGTGGCATCTCGCATGGGCACTGGTTCAAGTGCCATCCAGTGCCCTGCTGATGCACTTTCCTGTACTTGGAAAGCAGTGGAGGACAGTCCATGTGCCTGGCCACGTGGGGAGTGAGCCAGTGGACCGAACATGCATCTTTCATTCTGCCACCCTCCGAAACATTTGTTTGAAAGGACAATGTTCCCATCTGCTGGTCCGAGCCCCCGAGGGCCACAGCCAAGGCAGGCCGGGCCAAAGCTGGGGGATGCCATGTTCTCTCCCAGGCACAGGCTCAGCCGTGCTTCCCTGGGGCTTGCAAGTGTATGCTGATGACCCATTTCATGCCAGCCCCAGAGGCCACCTCCCGACAGGGAAACCTGCCCCAAGCGTATCCCACTGACTCGGGCACCTCGGTTCCTGCCAAGCTGTCCAGGTTAGGGCATGTGACCAGGTGTCCGATGGTCTGCAGACACCCAGGTCCAGGCCTGCTCCTGTGGACCCCACGAGACAGAAGGAGTTGCCTTCTAAGAGGCCAGCAATTGGGGATGCAGATGCAAGGAGGGGCTGGGTTCAGTGCCTGCCTGGAATGAATCCTGTGACGGGGGAATAACCCTCCAAGCGGCTAGTATCACACTGCCATGTCTCCTTAGGACTGAGATCTGGAGACGCGTGAAACAACGTCCACCTTCAACCCCAGGCACAAAGAACTCTAAAGGAAAGAGGTTCCCAAGGAGAACATCGTCTAAAAACAGACAAAACCTCCAGTCGTCACGAAGGACAGCTCAGGCCGCAACGTAAAGCCTCAAAAGGAGAAACTGTGATCAAAGATGAAGGTGAAAACCCAGGGCAGACGGGACCAAACGCATGTGGCTCAGCTGCGGCAGAGGGGACAGTGCAGCAGACGCCAAGCTAAGAGGAGCCGCAATGCTGAACACAGAGGTGCTGTGTGAGGGAAGCAGAGGAGAGAGCCAACACCTGCTTCACACTGCCCAGATGCTACTCCTGGGCGAGGTAGGAGCACCGTGTGGCAGGCTTGGTGGCTGGCTGCTGATGTAGAGCAGCAGCTGTGCAACCCCAGGAGCGGCGAGGAACAGGGTTTGCTCCAAATGTGGTGAGGTGCATAGGCTGCCTGGCACCAGGACGACAAGCACGTGCCACCTTGCAGGAACAGGAACCAACAGAGCCAGAGCAGACCCAAACAAAACAAACAGGAGAACGGGGGTGGGGGGGTGGGAAGTGAGGGTGCAGTGGCTGCAGCCTGTCCCCGCCCTGGGCTGCCTATACCACAGGCACCTGCAATGCAGAACTTGGGGCTCCCTTTAAAGGGAGTGCAGTGGCTCAGGTCAACAGGCTTCACACTCCTGGGCCACTACTTCCCAGGTTCCGCAGTGGGTGGCACTAAACCAGGAAACAGAGACGCTGGAGAGATTCCCATGGGCCTCTGGGAGCCTGCCACAGCGCCAACAGAAGTTTGGCCGGGGGGGCCAGAACAAGAGGGTGGTGTGTGCAGCTCAGACACTGCACCAGAGGACACTGCTCTAGAACACACTGCAGTCAGCACACTTCCAAGACAGAACCACTCAGTCCTCACTTGCACATCAGAACAAAAACTTTATCTGGAAACGAAGACAGTTCTAACATTGAAAGACATTTTCAACTCACGGAACACCAAGTTCTACAATCTGACCGACGTGGGGGCCGAGGGCAGAGGGGGCCTGACAGTGAGCAGGGGGCAGGCACGGGCTCGCTCTGGCTATGCTGGGCCAGAGGCCGAGGGGGCAGGGACAGGTCCAGGACATCACCCAGGGAGGTGTGGCAGCGGAGAGGAGAGCCTGAGGGGCTGATCCTGGGCCAGGCCTTCCTGGGGCTTGGGGATGGGGTGTGTCCACACAACCTTTTCTTTAGCAGATTTATTCACTTATCTTCTAATTGAAAGGCAGAGCTAAGAGAGAGGGTGGGGAGAGAGAATTTTTCATCCACTGGTTTGGTCCTCAAATGGCTGCAACGGCCAGGGCTGGGCTGAAGCCTCAGGAGTCAGGTCTCACTTCCAGCTCTCTCATGTGGGTGCAGGGGCCAAGCACCTGGGCTGTCACCCACTGCCTTCCCAGGAGTGTTCACATGGCAACCATACAACAGGGTGCCTGAGTCACAGGCTGCGGCTTTACCTGCTGCGCCACAATGCTGGCCCCAGTTAGCTTCTAAAGACAAAAACCACCCCAGCTAAAAGGAACGGAGTAAGGCTACCTCCCTGTGACCCACACTGCAGTGCAGTGGCCACAGCTGCATTCACAGGGGGCAAGGGAAACCAACAGAGCTACTGAGATGAGGGGGAGGCAGAGCTGCCGGCCCCCAAGACCAGCACATGAAACATGCCACAGCCACGGGGAATGCAGCAACGCCGAGCGCCAAGCATACTCCTAGCACAACTTGCAAGGACTCCACAGGAGGCCCTGGCTTGGAGGACCCAGGCATGGAACCCCGCACTTGTGCTATGTAATGCCAACGCTCAGAGAAAGGAGCCAGGGACAGTCCAGGGAGGAACTGGCTTGGCTCACGTTGGGTCAAGTGTGGCACGACTTAGCCACAAACATTGCAACAGTCGCCAAGGCGGTGATGTGGACCATGGAGCAGAGGAGGGGCTCACTCACGCTCGGTGCCAAGTTCACTGGAATCTTACACTGTGTCCCAAGGATTCAGAAGGCAGCACAGTGAGACATGTGACACCCAGCGCACCATACCGAAAGGCAACAGGTCCCTGGGTTGAGCACAACTGCAGACAGAGGTCCAGCGGTCCCCAGCCCTTGGAGCCGACCCCAGAAGGCCAACAGCAAGAGGTTAGGCTCAACCTGCATCTCGGCCCAGAGGCAGGGTGGGCAGCAGGCCTGTGCTGACAGAGGCTGGACAGGCACACGGGTGACACCACCCGGGCGGACCTCAGCGTGCCTGTGCTGCTGCCGTCACAGCAGAGCTGCACTGAGCTCACCTGGATCTGGGTCTGCACCTGCTGAGTTCCGGCCAGTTTCTGTGCCTGGGAGATGGGTGTTGTCAGAAATTGGGTCTTCAGGGCTGGCTGGGTGGCATAGGTAACCTTCTGCTGGGGGCCCTGGGCAGCGATCTGCTGGGCCGTAATCTGCAGAGGGAGGGAGTGTATCAGTCCAGGTAAGGTTCAGGCCCATGTGGCTGCCCTCTCCAGCAGAGGCCCATCCATGCCTTCGGCATGCTTGGTTGGAGCATACTGAGGGGCCGGGGCCCTTGGGTGAAGACCCTGAAGGCCTGTAAACCAAACAGGAGGCTGCACTCCCACCAAGCCGCTGCTGAGCGAAGCCGGGCACTAGTTCTCAGAGGTACTCGCCCATGACCGTCTCTCACACTTCCCTGGGTCAGGGTGCTGGTGTGACAGAGCCCCTCTCCTGGCACTGGGGCCCCCAAGTACTCCACCCTCCTCCGCCCAGCATGTCCCACAACAGCTCTGCTTCCAACTGTCTGCTGTGATGTGCCCGCAGAGCCCACACTGCCAGCAGCCAGAGACAGGTACCCAGCCCAGGTACTCCATGGAGCCAACTCACTCTGAGGACAAGTCTTGAGCCCCATGGAGTGAGTGTGCAGCATTCAGAGAGCAGCACAGGGTGCAGGCACTCTGACTACTGCCCTCGTGTCTGCCCAGGGCAATTCAGGGATGCTGCTACTCAGCAGAGGTTTCCCTCACACTTCCGCCCCATCACCTAGGAGGGGTGCCTTGGCCTGGACCAGGTGTCCCAAAAAACGCCCTCCCCCAGCAGCGAGACTCGTACCTTCTGCTGGACAGTGGCTGGGCCCTGAGCGACCTGGGGCTGCAGGGCCTTCTGCTGCTGGACGGCCTGCTGCTTGAGCTTAAGTAGCTGCTGCACGTGCACGGGCTGCGCCACGACAGTCTGTCCTGCAGTGCCAACGTGCCCATCAGTGCAGCAAGGACAACCCCCCCACCCCCGGGAACACTTACAACTTGGCCAGGGAAGGTTAGTAATGGAAGTCTCTCAGAGGTACCACTGCTAAAGCAGGCCACCAGCATGAGATGGGGCCAGGGAAAGGACACGGCCAAGCTGGTGGCCACTGTACCCACAAAGACTCAGACCCTGGGCCAGCCCGGGAAGGGGCAGCGGGGCTGGGAGGTGGCACCTGCTGCTTTCTGCGGCTGCCCGATGGCCACGCTGATCCCTGCCACGTTCATGGGCAGGGTGGTGACTCCTGGCGAGGAGACCACAGCTGCTGGAACAGACACCACCGGCGGCTTCGCCAGGGCCACCTGGGCTGGTTGGGGCGTCTGGCTCTGCATCTGCCCTTGCGCCTGCAGCTGAGAAGTGGGAACTCGGGTCTAAACAGTGGAGATAACAGGAGAGTCCAGACATTCAGGACACGGTGTGTCATAAGCAGTCACAAACATCTGTAAACTCGGGATATGGTAATACAGGGGACACAGCATCCCAGGGTGTGGTCACTCTTCTTGTCAACCCTGGGTGCAGCCTGCTCTACTTCAGGCTGATGGGTGGGTGGGCACCATGCATACGGGACACAGCCCCCAGGGCTCTGGGTGACCAACCTGGCGCCCACTCCCACCTGAACCTCTGCTGAGGGCATGGCCCCCTACTGCAACAAACACTTCATTACAGTTTTTAAAAAGGAAAATGGAATTGAGCCTATTCTGACATGTGCACAGAGTAGCTAAGGAAATACAAGGAGTACAAATCATCCCGGAACAGTTGTGGCCTCGCAGGCCTCTTGGGCTGCTTCACGCCTACACGCGGATGCAGGGATGCTGAGTGAGGCTCTTGGCAACAGACACTGCACCCCCACCCCCAGGGCTGTGCGCATGCTCACAGGGCAGTGCTGCTCTCCTTTCCAGCGTGACTGGAAGTGTATACTTTCACAGTCTTTTGGAACACATGCCAGACCTTGGCGGTACCAGGGCTCTTATCCCCAAATCTGTGCTTTCAGTGCACACAGGCCCCTCCCCACTTGATAGAGAAAACAGGGGCCAAAGATCCACAGGGCTGGGCCTGAACAGAGTGAGCTGTGCTGGACAGCGGGGGCACTTAAGCCAGCACTCAGTCTGCCTGGGCCCAGGGCAGTGTGTGGCTCAGGGACCTCCCTCGGTGGCCATCGCCGCTCCGGTGGAGCGTATCTGACACCACCCCGGAATAGCTTTCCTCTGCTTCTGGCTCCTCCTCCCCGCCCCTACACGCTCCCTGCCAGCTGATGCTGGCCGAGTGCCGGCTCCCAGGGACCTTGGCTCATCTACTCTCCATCCCTACAAACCGTGGGAACTACTTGTCACGTACTCCCCTGCCTGCAGCTCTGCGGGAGAGGTGCCTCACGTGCAGGCTCCTGGCAGCTGACATGTTCTGAGCAAGCGAGCTTAAAGGCAGGACATGAAGTTGCTTTTGGAGAACAAATGCATCGATTCCAACTTACAAGCCGGGCCACCTGGAGGTTGGCCACGGTGGTGCCGGTGAGGAGTGCTCCAGGACGCGGGGCTGTGACCGTGGCGAGCTGTGGGCTCTGCTGCTGTGGGGGTTGTGGAGGCTGCACCTGAACTTGGGCCGTGGGCTGTGGGGGTCCTGGCTGGGCTTGTGGCGTTGGGGGCTGTGGAGGCAGCTGCAGTTTGTGCTTCTGCATTTTGATGATGTGTTCCTAAAAACCCAAAGAAAATCACTGTTGTCACGCAACCCAGATCTCAGCTTTCCCATCAGACACCAAACTGCAGCTCATGTGCAGTGTGCCGAAACTCCAAGTCTAACACCTCATGAGGAACACTGGCTGCCAGGTGAGCTAGCAGCACGGTGTACCGAGTTAAACTACCACTTACAGCGAGGATACTGGTTTGGGTTTGGCCTGTTCTTCTTCTGATCCAGCTGCCTGCTAATGTGCCTAGGAAAGCAGAACAAGATGGCCCAAGTGCCTGGGCCCCTATACCCATGTGGAAAAGTTGGAAGAAGCTCCTGGCTCAGGTCTGGCCCGCCCTGGCTGTTGTGGTCATTTGGGGATGGATCACTGGATGGCATGTCTCTAAAAATGACTTTCAAATAAATAAAAATGTATCTTGGGCCTATCAGTTGGTAGGCGTGGTGAAGTCCTTGCCTTGCACGTGCCGGAATCCCATATAGGCACCAGTTCTAATCCCGGTAGCTCTGCTTCTCATCCAGCTCCCTGCTTGTGGCCTGGATAAGCACTTGAGGATGGCCCAAAGCCTGCACCCACGTGGGAGACCCAGAAGAGGCTCCTGGCTCCTGATCGGCGCAGCACCAGCCGTTGCAGTCACTTGGGGTAATGACTCAGCGAATGGGAAGATCTTCCTCTCTCTCTCTCTCTCCCCTCTTGTCTGTTTATCTGACTGTATATCACACCAACTAGCCCCCATTCCTGATTGCCGATGCCTCTTGGGACCAGCCCTGACATCGCCTCCCAAGTGGCTGGTGAGGTTCTGGGTAGTGGGCCAAGCTCTAGGCCCACTGTTGGCCCAGCTGTTGGCTGGGATTCCATCACTGCGAGCCCTGCTTGGGGTCCTTTCTACAGCAAGAAAGAGTCACCTCCCCCTCTGACAGAGGCTGGGTGATAGCAGGAGGGGAGCTCCAGTGACAAGCCTTGGACACACAGCCCTGAAGCAACGCGTTTCCACCACTTGGCAGTTGAGCCTGCCAGTACTGTCCGGGCAAGAGCAGAGGGCATCCTCTGGTCCTCTCTAGCAAATGACCTACTGTGGACAGTACAGGACACACTGAGATGCATCAACCAACAGGGACCTGCATGGCTCCTGTGCGCCTGGACAGTCTTCTGACTCCCTGGGAAATGCTCACCGGTGCCAACTTGCCCACGGTTTTGATCTGTGCCGGGGACTGGGCCTGGCCCTGCATCTGTGGGACTTGCACCTGGGAGGTCTGCTGCTGCTGCTGCTGCTGTTGCTGCCTCAGGAGCTGGAAATGTGCAGGCGTGATGGCCTTTCCTGGCAGCTGGACTCCTGTGGCTGCAGAGGAAACCACATCAGGCGAGGGCAGACACTCTCACAGCAGCAGGCTCAGGGAGCTGTCAGACGTGCGGATACCTTGGGACACCTGCGTCACCAGAGACCGAGCTGGGGTCTGTGCTGGAGTGAGGTTGGTGGTGACCACAGCTGAGGTGGTCACCGAAGTGACAGCACGGACACCCTGAGTCGTTGCCATGGATACCAGGTCGTTGGTGGCTGTGGCTGGGGAGCCAACTGCTCTTTGCTGGGTGTGAACCACCTGGGCAGGGGTAGAGCCTCCGGCTACCTGGGAAAAGCAAAGAGACACTTGTCAGGGCTTTTCTCATGCACAGCAGGAAACCAAGTGTGCCAGAGTCCTGAGCCCAAGACAATGCACGCAGTCAACATCAGCCTCTGCTCAGGGCACGGGGGGCTCTGGCTTTCGCTACAAACGCACATTGAGTCACAACTTCCCACAGCATTGCAGCTCGGCCACATGAAGAAATGCTGGCTCCAACCCAAGAGGCCACCTGGTCCCCTTTCTGTCCACCAGGAGCTGCTCCAGGGAATACTTGACTTCTGAAGTGTCCCCAGCATTGGTGTTTATGCCTCAAAAACAGTCAGCAGTCCTGACTCTCCAATCTGCATGACCTACAGCCCCACCCACCTGCTATAAGGGCCTTGCCTCCTAAGCCTTACCTCTGGGCACGGGTAGCAGCAGCAGCCATGACCCCACTCAGGGCCCTTCCCAGAGCTACAGCAAACCCTGACAGCTCTGATTGGAAGGGTGCATTAAATGCCCGGTGCCCCGAAGAGCACAGCACGCTCCAGACCCTTCCAAAGCTCTGGTGTCAGACAGAAAGTTGGCAGGCCACCTGCGCCTTTCTATTCAGCCTGCCCTCTTGCTTCCTGGCACCGTGTAAGACAGAATGCTCATCCTACGGGGGCTCTCAGAACAGCAGTGAAGTCTAAGGGGGCTCTTGTCCCTCCCAGGAGGCTTCACCTTCGCTCCCTTCACTCACACACTGGCACCTCCACAGCAGCCCACTTCGGGCTCACCCCTAGGGCACTCACTGAAGCTCTGCTCACACACACACTGGCACTTCCAACAGCACCCTGCTTGAGGCTTAACTCAGCTCACTTCGTCCCCACGGCACTCTAACTCAGGCTTCACCTTTGTTTCCCTCACCCACACAGTACCCCACTTCCGGGTCCCCTATTCATTTCTCTGCGTTGCCTTTCTCCCTTAGAGTTGGGCCTGACCACAATTTAGTCTTGTGTAAGTCCCTTGAAGCTTTTAAAAGTTTTAAAATTTTTAACCTGTAACTTCAATTCCTTTTAGAGAGGAGTGAACAATGACCCATCTCAGATCATCTCCTTTTCTGGGTTCCAGAACAAGCTTCCCACTCTGCCAGGAGAAGCCGACCTGTTAAGTGAAGCACTGCTCTGGGGTGATGTGCACGGGGCCAAGGGTCACCGTTCTGCGGCAGCTACTGAGACAACAATGACTCCATGGACCACGTAGTCCCAATCCTCCTGGGTCCATGGCCCTGCAGCACTGCAGCACCAACGCACTCAGACCTGGACTCTGCTGGATGCCCACACTCCTCATGGGAGTCCCCAGATGGGGTTCCAAGTCCTTGGCTTGGCTGCCATGTCTGGAGAGTACATCTAAACAGAATGCCCAACGGATGGCATTCCACACTGGCAGTTGCCTAAGCCTGACGCATTATACTCGTCTCCTGCTCTCTGTGACCAAAACAATCCCAACACAAATTTCAAGTCCTTGACCTTAGCTTTGTGTTGTTTGGAAGCTGCTTTCTGAGAAAAGCAGGGGCTTGACGCTGGGCTGTGCTGCTGACACCACCAGCCTGCAACCCTGAGCGCCTTCCCGGGGCGAGCTCCACCCTGCCTCCAGCACCGGGCCAACATCCCAGTGTGGGTGAGGTCTCATCACTGTCCTTGTGCAGAATGACACTCCCGGCTCACCTTCTTCCTCTCTAAAGATGATACCACCAAACTCTTGCTTATTCTCTCAAATTACAAGGCAGAAACTATTCTTTATCCACATCACTCATTAGCTTATTCTGCAACTGCAAATCACATCAGCAGTTTCTCACTTCCGGAGTGAAATGCGTGGAGGCATCCTGCGGTGGGGGGCACTCACGGGCAGGGTGGCCGGGGCCACAGGGGAGGCGAGGCGCTTGTTGATCGACTGGAAGGCGGCTGCCTGGACCCCAGCGATGCTGTTCACAATCACGTTCCCACTCACGGTGCCTGTGGGAAGGTCAAGCAGGAGGTCAGCACGTGCACGTCAGGCCCCCTCCTCAGCACACGGCCGCCTCTCTTACCAGCTGGCATGCTCGTCCCAGTCACCGATGTCTTAATGGTTCCTGTCTGCTGAACAAAGAAAACTCCTTAGAATTTCACACCAAGTTCTCCCTAGACTCCGACTTGTTTGAGAGTCACACCGTGTGCACACAGATGCAAGCCACCCCACATGTGGCCCTGGCTCCCGTTGCCAGTTTTGTGCATTGAGAGGACAGGATTCTGCCTGAGCAGCTGCCTCGCCGGGTGCAGACGGCCTGAACTAGAACTGTGACTGTGCTCTGCACTGCGGTGGCTGCCCGGCTCTTGCCCGGCTCTCCCCGCAGTGGTGGAGCAGATGCCTGTACACCTTTTAGATGAACACTTTCCTGCCCCGCTGACGGCCCAGCAGAACACGGAAGCTGTGGAACCTGTGTTCTGCAAGCCGACTCCACACCTGTGAGATGCTCACCTATAGACGCACACAGTAAGGGATGCCACAGGCACAGGCTTCAACACCGAAGCCCGCCTGGCCATACCTTCCTCATGCTTTTTAAAGCATCTGTTTGTTTCAAAGACCAAGCCCTTTTCCCTGCCTTCCCCAAAGAGGAAGGTTCGCAAGCTGACATTAAGTGCTCATCTTAGTAAGCAGCCCTGGCACCAAATGGCAGAGCTGGGGAGGGGCAGCCCCACATAGGGCCAGTGGCCTCTCCTCACCAGCACTGCAGCATTGCCCACGGTGGTGATGGCAGGCTGCCCCTTTGGTGGAGCCTGCACAGGCTGTGGCTGTGGAGGGGCCTGGGCCTGGGTCTGAGGGGGCACGGCTGGTGGCCCCGCAGCTGGCTGGCCCCCTGCAGCCTGTGCCTGCGGCAGTGGTGGTGGTGGCTGCTGTGGCGGTGGTGGGGGCTGCTGCTGCTGCTGCTGCTGCTGCTGGGGAGGCGGCTGAGCCGCTGCTGGCTGCTGCGCCTTCTGTTGGTCAGCCAGGGCCTAGAAGAGCAGAACAGAAAAGTCGCTGGAGGAGTGGGCAGCCACGCCTGGCTGAGGCACTGAGGCAGCAGACCATCCCGTGAGGGTCCGAGAGTCTGGGGCACACACCTTTTTCTCTTTGGCAATCCGCTCTGCACGAAGAGACGCAACCTGAATGGGAGGCAGTGGCTTGTCGTAGTTGATTCCACTAAAACAGAAGCAGAAATTAAAGACTCGGTGGTCATCTCTCGCACACAATCTCCCTGCAGTTTCGGTGACCCACAGTCACCAGTGATCTGAAAAGATTTCTGGCCAACTCCAGAAAGGAGCACTTCCTGAAGCCTGTGTGCAGTGAGGGGCAGGCTGCTTCCTGCCCACGCTGCCACGCTGCCCGTCAGTGCCCAGATCAGCCATACTTCATCAACAAGGGACCTCCTTAGAAAGGGCACGAGCGGAGTGCGCAGGGCTTGGTGCTACCTTCAGACCTTGGTGGGGGACACTGCCCTCCCCCATGAGCTTCCCGAAGACACCCTCAACACAGCCCAGGGAGCCCCCAGCACTCCACAGACACGTCTGTGACATGCCACCCTGCCCACACAGGTGCTGGATGGGATTCTCCCTGTCTCACCTGCGACACAGGTGCAACCGTGCAGAGCCCAAGCTTTGGTGCCTGCAACACCAGGCCATGGACACAGCCAAGCCCAGTCTGCTATGCGAGCCTCTTCTCGCACACCACGGAAAATGTGCCTGCAACTTCCAGAGAACCTCCTTACGCTGGCTAAGACGTCAGGGGAGCGACTACTCTGCTCAGCACTGAGCTGCCCGGGGCACACCAGCAAGCATGAGCTGCATGGGCATGTCCATTCAGTTCACTGTCAAGTATGACGAACGTCTGCCCTTTGCCTTTAGGCTCACAGACAAGGAAGGCAGGCTCATTGGGAGCAACATCAGGGCATGTGTGCAGGTTCCAACAGGTGGTCTGGCCTCAGGAGGCACAGCAGCCTGGCTCAAAGAGAATCACTGAACGGGCTCACCGCAGTTGCCTCAGGAGCCAGCTCACCTGACAAGGGCATCTGGCTGCCCTGTGCAGATTCTCAGAGCCCCAGGAAGGAAGCAGTGGCTGCCGGGAGGGAGGTAGTGGTAACAGCTGGCAGGGGTGACCACTTCACACCAGGAAAATTATACAAACACAGCAAACACCCACACGCCCAAGCTCTCAGGTTCAAGAATGACTGACCTATCCATCTATCAATTATCTTTTTCTTTCCCCTCCTTGCTGATTTTCAAAGCCTGGTCCAGTTCTCTGCACAACTCATTACATTTCAGTGAGCACCAAAGCACAGACATACCTTTCTGCTAGCACAGAGGCATGCTTGGGATTTTTCTGGAAGGGGTTCATGCCCAGCCTGTGGCACAGAAGAGGAGAAAGAGATGACTCCAGCCAGAAGCCTTTGTGACAGAGGAATCAGACACCCAGACACCCACGGGGCTGGGGGCAGGGCTCACAGTGGCTTGATGGGGGGGCTTCTCTTGCCAGCAGTCGTCTTCATCAGCTCAAAGTGATTCGTATACAGCTGGGTATGGGCGGCATTCTCGTCCTGTGCGTAGAGCTGGCTGGTGCGCACAGGGCGGTTGTTTTTGCTCTGAAACAAAATGGACATAAGCATACCAAGGTCAGCCGTGCTGGTTCCGTAACTGGATGCAAACTCCTTTCCTGCCCCTGCTTTACACTGTAAGGACACCAGCAGCAATGACCCTAAGTGACTCAGTTCAATCCCAGCCCCTCCATTCAGCAACCACAGATGTGGGAACACCCAATTCCAGGGGCCACATGGCAGGAGACCAGGTGTGGAGCCAGCAGTAAACCTCTACTAGTGGATCCAACGCCAAGTGGCAGTGCTGACCCCACTAGTCACCATTTCCTCTAGGGACAGTGGCACAGAGGGTGAAAAAACCAAACAACACCTGAATGTCTTGCTAGCACCTCTCCCCTTTGCATTTCTGATCTTTCTCATGAAGCCTTAACCCAAGACAGCAGTGCAGCCCGGGATGCAGGTGTGGGCCTCCACGTGTGGGTGCATATGCACACACGGGGTGGCTCTGTGTGCTGAACCGTCATGGACATGTTCTCACATCCAAAGGAAACTCCACAAAGGAGCTGGGGAGAAAGGACAGTCAGCATGAGCCCTGTCTGCAGACAGCAGCCCCAGGCCAGGGCCAGGGCCGGCACAGCAGCGAGTACACACAGGCTGCGGCAGGGATGGGTGCCCAGCCACACACACTCCAGGTGCATCCCCCAAATACAACACAGGTTTCAGGGCTCCAGATGTGCTAGCCACGTAACTGCACACCGGTACTCAACCTGCCTGCAATCTCCTTCACAAAGATTCAGCATTCCAATTTGTTCTGTTTCACCTTCAGGCTTAGGAGTAGTTTTGCCTTTCTGGATTAGCTCCAGAAGTCAGTTATGGGAGGAGGGAAAAAGTGCTTCACGGTCATGGTTATTATTAAAAGCTTCCACGACATAAGAGGGCTTCGTTTTTCATTTTAAACAGAAAAGCAAAGAAATACTTAACGCATTTTTTTTTTCAAAGGGATAAGCACTTGGTAAGAAGAACCAGGATGAACGAGCTACAGTGTTGTTACCAGCACACAGGGCATCACTTGCATACAGCAAAGGCAATGCAAGTGCCAGTGTTCATCTCTCACAGTCCTGCCACGATGGGCCCTGTGGTACTCAGCAAGGGGACTGACTGGGCACACCAGCTGCAGCTTTGTCACCATGAAGGGGTAGCATGGTGGAGCCCTGGGAGGAGGCCAGAGCTGCATGCTGTGAGCACAGCCAGATGGAGAGAAGCAGGTGCAGATGTGGGAGGAGCAAAGGGCATAGCATAGCAGCTCATCTAAGCTAGGCTGGACATCATGACCTTGGGACAGTTTTCTAACAAGAAGTGGCAGCACCTCTGGTTGGTTCTGGGTACACAAAGGAGCCCACCTAACTTACAAATTCAAGGTCAAGCTCCATCTTTTTATGCTCTAGGTCAGGCACCCTGCAGACCTCATTGAATCCTAGAGAGCTCTGAGGCCAGCTCTGCCAGGTGAGGCCAGCTCTGCAGCCTTAGGTCACTGCACCTGCCCACTTCCTCCCAGAATCGGGCAGCGCTCACCTTGCCCTCTTCTCGGGGGATGATGACATTCTCGTAGCGATTCCGGCACTGTTTGGAAGAGCGGTAAATTCGGCTGCAGGAGTTGACGACATCACTGACAAGATCCCAGTTCGGGGTGTGAGCAGGTGATACAACCGTGAGGTTCAGCGGCAGCTCCAGTAGCTGCTTGACGGCCTAGACGATTAGGGTTCAGAGACAGGAAGTCAGCGCCCTGGGAAAAGGGCTTTCCCAGCCACAGGCTCCCCCACATGAGCCACACTGCGCACCTGCAGCAGGGCCCAGTCCTCCCCGATAAGCCATTCGGGACTGTCCTGCCCGGCCTCGGCCGTGGGTTTGGGGTAACTGATCATGGGTTTGGCGAACTGTGCCTGCTGCTTCAGCAGCAAGTTCTTCTTCTGCTCCTTCCCCTCACGTCTGATCTTGAGCATGCCCGGCGTGGCTCGGTCAAACAGGGACCTTGGCGGGACCACTGCCTCTCCATGCCGCTGCTTCTTCTTCCTGCCAGCAGCTGAACAGCAAAGACAGAAGAGACTGAGAGTGAGAAGCAGAGAGCAGACTGGCTGTGCTGCCAGTCAGGACACTGCCAGCGTTTGCACTCTGCAACAAGAGGGCAGCAGACAGCAAGTGGCTACTCAGGTGCAGCAGGAAGGCAAGGCCACGCACTCCCCAACTTGAGACGCCCACCTGAGGGGTCAGTCTTGTGTCGCTTTCGCTCCTTTCTCACATATACCGGAGGCAGCTTAGCCTCTGGGATGGGCGTGGTTTCATACATGAGACACATAACCGAGTCGATGTAGATATCGTTGTCGTCTTGAGGGGGAGTGGGCGGGGTCCAGAGCTGCACGGAGAGAAGGCCCAGTGAGAAGCAAGACAGGAGCAGGCAGGCAGCTGCTCACCCCACACACCGGAAGGCTGCTCACCGGCATCACCTCTGTCTGCCCGTCAGCGTCCTCGTAGACGTACTCCTGCAGGAAACACAGGTGCGCTTACATGCCCAGCCAGCTTCACGCTGCATGCCTGACATCATTTACTATGCAGGTCTCCCAAGTAAGTCCGGCCAACACGAGTGGCATTAGACTTACAACACCACCACACAATTCAGAAGCCTTATGAAAATCCAGAACAATATGTCAGCCCTCAAGAAGTGTACGATGTGAAACAGGAGTTATGGGGCTGGCATCACGGCACAGCAGGTTAAACCATCAAAAGCAAGGCTGGCATCCCACTTGGGTGCCAGTTTGAGTCCTGGGTACTTCACTTTCATTCCAGCTGCTAGCTAACTGGCCTAGCCAAGCAGTGCCCACGCTCTCGGCCGCCGTACCATGCTGTAGGCGTCCTCTCGGGTGTAGGTGAGGAGCTCAGGCTCCTCCTGCTGCAGCTGCAGCTGGGCTTCTCGGTCCTGCTGTGCCTTCGCGTGCCGGGACTCCCACTCCCTCACCGAGGCCATGACCGCATCCTGGCAGGCAGAGCGCAAGTCACACACTCAGAAGCAGCAGAGCCCAGCCCTCCTTCAGCCCCTGCCGACTCCACCCAGGCCCAGCCTCAGAGTGCAAGTGAACACCTGCTGGCCTCCTGTCCCATGGAGCATCCATGGGCATCCTCTGTGTCTCAGCGCTGGACACGGGCCCCTCTCCCGTCTAGCAGCTCAGAATCAAAGACCCAAGACAAAATGCAAGCCACAGCTGCCCAAACTCATCTCCTCCCGGCTGGGCGTCTGCTGCTTTAATCCAATGAAGCCACATCTACTTCAAACCCAACGTGCAAAGCTTGAGAGTCTTCATGGTAAACTGACCAAAACCAGATTTGCTTACCCCACTCTGTTTTTCTTGCTGAAAGGAAGTATGGAAAAATTCCAGGTAGTTCAAGGCATATTTTTCAATAGGTGTGAGCTGTTCCAGGATTAGAAGCAAGTTAATAAAGATCAGCTGAGTTCCATTCAAAAGTGATTATTGTTGAATAAAGCGGACAAGTAGTATTTTGAAAGAGGATCATGTTTTTACAAAGCATTTATCTCAAAAGGAAAAGTCTCCAGACCTGCTCCATGAAGTCGGTCAGCTCCTCCAGCGGCGACGGCCCGTCACCCAGCTGCATGTCGCTTGTGTCTGACGGAAGGGCGTCCACATCCGACCCAGGCACGGCTACCTCAGTAGCTTTCTGTGCATCTTCTTCCAAACTCTCAATGCTCTTGAGGGCCTAAAAAAACCTCTGGATTTAGAAACTGGGATCTGCTTTTGAAACTGAGGCATTCTGAACAAGAGCCACTCCTCAAATAGTTACAGCAAATGCCACCATCATGCCTCCCTTCACCACAGGCCCCACTCCTGAGGTGACTCATCCAGAGACAGTGAGGCCCGGGGCCTGTACAAAGTGAGCAGCAGAAGCCTAGGGGCGAGCACCATGGGGCAGCAGCTAAGCCATAGATTATGATACCGCATCCCACAGTGGGGTGCCAGTTCAAGCCCTAGCAGCCTCCCATTCATGGGAAAGTACCAGGTGCTGGCTCTAGCAGCTGGGGACACATCCACATTTTATCTGGCTACACAGATGCATCTACCTTTCAAATAAGTAAAAATAATAAACATAAACCTGGGCCTTCCAAAACCAACAGCTAACAGCTAACAGCTGTATGGGACATGCAAGCCTCAAGGAAGGCAAAGCAGGCCAACGTAACCACACTCAAGGTACGGCCACAGGGTCGCTGACCTCCAAGAACAAGGAAGGGCAAGTTGGTTTCGTCTCATTCCTGACACATATCCCTGGCCAATGACAGTGTGAGGTGGAGAGACAGAGCCCACAAAGACACACAGATGGTCGCAGCACAGCTCAGACTTACAGGCTCGGAGCACCCAGGACATGTGGCAGCAATACACCTCACGACGGTGGACGACACACAGACACCAACTCTGAAATGGGTGCACGGCCTACAGCTGCACAACATACCTCACATATGCCAGAAACCATTTGCAAAGTGATTATAGGTCTATGTATTTTAAATGTTGAATATCTACAAGATATGAAGGAGGGTATCATGACAACCTCGGGGTAGGTGAGGTTGGGAACACAAACATTGCAACCAGGTGGCATTTGTCACTTGGGACACATCAGAGTGCCAAGTTCGAGCACACCAGTGGCCCTGAACAACTTGCTAACAAGGCAGGTAATGGCTCCGGTGGCTGAGTTCCTGTTATCCACGCTGGAAACTGATTGAGTTTCCAGCTTCCAGATTTTGTGTGGTCCCAGACTGGCAGGAGTTTGAAAAGTGACCCAGTCAATGGGAGCTTGGTCTTTTTCTTTCCTTTCCCTTTGTTTTAAGATTTGTTTATTTTTATTGGAAAGTCAGATTTTTACAGAGAAGGAAAGTCAGAGAGGAAAGCTCTTTTGCCCACTGATTCACTCCCCAAATATCCACAATGTGGGGCTGAGCCGATCCAAAGCCAGGAGCCAGGAGCCTCCTCCGGGTCTTCCATGTGGATCCCAGGACTTTGGGCCATCATTAACTGCTTTCCCAGGCCACAAGCAGGGGGTGGATGGGAAGTGGGGCCGCTGGGACCCGAACTGGTGCCCATATGTGATCCTACCACGTGCAAGGTGAAGACTTTTAAGCATTTGGCTACCGGGCCAGGCCCCCCGTCTTTCTAATGAACTGGAAATGCAAATTAACCCCTAGAGGTTTGGGATGGGGTCCTCCAGGACAGCCAAGCGGCCATCCTGGCTGTTAGGTGGCAGCTCTACCACACAAGTGCACACCCAGCACAGGTGCACAGGAGCACAATGCCAGATGATGTTCAGGCAGCAGGGTATAGACCAGGGGAGGGGAAGCTTCACCTGAGCAAGTCAACCCCTGGCTGAAACACATCTGATCTAGGCTCCTGTTAATGTGCCTGAGAAGGCAGCAAAAAAATGATCCAGTGAGACCTGGAGGAGGCTCCTGGCTTTGAACTGCCCCAGCTGTGGTTGTCATATCCATCTGGCAAGGACACTAACGATAGATCATTTTACTCCGTTCCCTTTTCATACTAGAAACAGGCTGCATGTAAAGTACAACTGCCACTTTCGTACTTACTGCCAAGCAGCAGAGCCAACACACGGCAACGGCTCTCAGCATACAAACAGCCACGTCAAAGCCACACGAACACACCCGCAAGACTTGCTGTCAGACACACACACACTAGACCGCTCGTCCTGTTACACACACACACCGCACTTCCTCACACACACACCACTCTTCCTGTCACACACACACACACACACACACACACACATCACTCTTCCTGTCACACACACACACATCACTCTTCCTGTCACACACACACACACACCGCTCTTGCTGTTACACACATACACACACACCACTCTTCCTGTCACACACACACACACACATCACTCTTCCTGTCACACACACACAATCACTCTTCCTGTTACACACACACACACACACACACCGCTCTTCCTGTCACACAGACACACACACTACATCACTCTTCCTGTCACACACACACACCGCTCTTCCTGTCACACACACACACACACACACACATCACTCTTCCTGTTACACACACACACACTATACCGCTTGTCCTGTTACACATACACACACACACAAAACACAGCTTTTCCTTGTGAGCTGTGAAATATACATTAGTGAGGGGCTACTTACCTGGCAAGTGCTGGGACTCAATATAGGTGCCAAGCTCCCTGCTTTTGGCCTGGCAAAGCAGCACAAAAACCTTAGGATCTTGAATTTTTGTGGGAGACCCAGAAGAAGCTCCTGGCTTCAAATTGGCTCAGCTCTGGCTGTTGTGGCCATTTAGGGAATGAGGCAGTGGATTCTAATCTCCCTTTACAATAAAAATAAACATAAGTGTGTGTGTGTGTGTGTGTGTGTGTGTGTGTGTAAGTGGCTGCAATGGCCAGAGTTGAGACAATTTGATGACCAGAGCCTCCTCAGGGTCTCCCACACGGGTGCAGGGTCCCAAGGCTTTGGGCCGTCCTCTGTCGCCTTCCCAGGTAATAAGCAGGGAGCTGGATGGGAAGTGGAGCAGTTGGGATACAAACCAGCACCCATATGGGATCCCAGCAGTTGCAAGGCAAGGATATAACCACTGAACCATGGTGTCGGGCCCATCACTACCTACTTCTTTTAAAGACTTATTTTTTTAAATTTATATTGGTAAGGCAATACAGAGAGGAGGAGAGACAGAGAGGAAGACTCTCCAACCAAAGATTCACTCCCCAAGGGCTGCAATGGCTGGAGCTGAGTCGATTTGAAGTCAAGAGTGTGCAGGGTCCCAAGGCTTTGGGCGGTCCTCAACTGCTTTCCCAGGACACAAGCAGGGAGCTGGATGGGGCCGCTGGGACTTAGAACCGGCGCCTATATGGGATTCTGGCATGTGCAATGCGAAGACTATCTGCTAGGCCATGTGCCTGGCTCTATTTTTTAAATGTTTATTTACTACAAAGTAGAGAGAGCTTCTATCTGCTGACTCACTCCCACTGTCCATGACAGTTGGGCTCGACAAGGCAGAAATCAAAAGCCAAGAACTTAACCCGCATCTGATGTCTGTGCATGGAAGGGACCAGACATAGGACATTCCTGGGGAAGCTTCCGGAAGCAGCATGTGCTGAGAAAGCCAACTGGCTGCTGTCTCAGTGGAAGCCGACCCTCCACTGTGTATTCCCAAAGACTGGGCCCTGTGTCTCATAAGCTTTTCCACTGCTCAACAGCCAGGCTTGCAAATGAAAGAGGAGGCGACAGCCAGCTGAACAGAACTTAGCAGGCAAAGCCAACAGGGTACAGGGAGTGGGAATGCATGTGGGAGGGCTGTGTGGTTAGCACCCAGCCTTCCACCACACAGCCAGGATTCAGCATGGAGGTGAGGTCAGTAGGGAACCCCCAGCCACAGCAAAGAATCAGAGTGAAGGAAGCTGGCCCTCAGGCAGAGACGTCCCTAAGGGTACACTGTGGGCCTCAGGGAGCAGGACGGAAATAAAACAAGTGGTACCAACGTCAGCACCATCCCAAAGAGTTCTCATGGGACCCAAAATGATTCGGCAAAGCAGAGGCTGAAAGCTGACACTCTGGCAGTGTTCATGAGCTAGTTAACGTGCTTGTCCCCCCCCTTGGCCAGGCTGTTTGGGCCCTCAGATACCAACACAAGCCAGCCTCGTGACAAGAGCTCAACCCCGGGCTCTTCTGAGCAGGACGAATGCAGAAGGCCAACTCCTGTGGGGGTCAAGCAGGTTGAGGGGGGAGGCCATTGACAGAGACTGGCAAGGAAAGGGACCCAGGAAGCTCTGAAGTACATGAACTGCTGAGCTTGGGGCCTTGTTGTGGGTGTCAAGCGAGAATCCTCCTGACAGAGGGGGGAAAGGAAGGGGCTAACGGGCCTGGACATGAAAGCCCCGGGTGAGCGGACACTCACCTCGAGTCAGCAGTGACTCTCTGGGCAAGGCCAGAGAATTCTCACCTCTATGAAAGGTCTTGCAATCTTGGGAGCAATGTTGTCTGTGACAGAAGGTTCTTGAGAGAGCACGACAAACTCCTCAGCCTTGACAGGGAAGCCAGTGTCATCCATGGGGGAGTAGACCTCAAACAGCTCCTGGATGGTGCGCTGCACACACACACACACACACACAAAGGACCCAACTTCATGCCTCACCCGAACCGGTGCCTGTGTACCAGCAAACTGTCAGGAAAGCATTCCTCATTGTCAGGTACCCAAACCACAACTGAGGGGTACCTGTGTGAGGAAGGCCATGGAGTAGTCATTCCCCTGGGCAGCCACCTCTCGGATCAAATCTTTAGTTCCATTCTTCAAAAGTTTCTCTTCGATGGAATTGCCGCTCACAAGCCTGCGAACAAGACAGCACACAATGCTCATGCTCGAGCCAGAGAAGCACAGACAATTCTAACACTACGATACTGTCTGAAGGCACTCAGCACAACTTGGAGTGACCCCGCCGTTGGAGAAGGGACACTGAAGAGCCTGACATGCTGGGACCACAGCGTCCACCATGCTGCGCCCCACGGGGCAGCTCACATCCAAGTGGGAAGTTTCCTGGTCACATAGGGAGGGACTCCTGTCCATGTCAAGCCCTGCAGTCCATGCTACTGACCGTGACACACCGTGGTGAGCAGTGTGGTATGTCTCGCTGCGTGTCCTGCATCCTCAGATATCTCCTCCTCACCCCAAAAGGCACTCATTTTCCTCCTGGTGCTGTGCACTGATGGGGTCGCTACAACCCCATCACACGTACTCCAGTCTCTTCTTTCTACCACAAGTGCAAAACTGCAACCAACACTAGTTCCTGGACATGGCTGCGCTGGGGATGACTTGTAGGTGTCATTTTAAAATCAGGAGAACATGTCAAATACTTAGAGAATGTCTAAACCAATCGCACTGGGCATCACCTGGGGCTGGTGGACAGGTGTGGGCTGCTTCCACTAGTGTGCTCTCAGACAGCATGTTGCACTAAGACACCTCCCTCGCTCTGTGAGCTGGAGCAGCTTTTCTCTTGTTTCTCACTTGGAATTCACTATATTCACAGGTTCCCTCCTCATAATGTAAAATAATGTTTTTAAAATTCGAGGGGCAGAGAAACAGAAGACAAAGAGAGCTCCCATGTACTGCCTTCAACAGAGAGGCTCCCAGATGCCTTCAACAGCTAAGACTGAACCAAGCTGAAGTTAAGAGCAGGGAACTCAATCCAGACCTCCCTCGTGCACCTGCTGCTCCCGGGACGCCTGTTAGCAGAAATATTCTCAGGATACTCAGAGGGTAGCCATGCCCCAACCCATCTTACCATTGTATTTACCACACAAACCACCCTTTAGACATATTCATGTCCTGGCTGCTCCATTTCCAACCCAGCTCTCTGCTAATGACCTAGGGAAAGCAGTGGAGGATGGCCCACGTGCTTGGGCCTTTGCCACCTATGTGAGGTGTTCAGATGAAGTGAGTTGCTCCAGCTTGGGCCACCATACCCATCTGGGGAGTGCTTCAGCAGATGGAATATCTGTCTCTCCCTGACTCTGACTTTCTTTTTTTTTTTTAAGATTTATTTTTATTATTTTTTATTGGAAAGGCGGATATACAGAGAGGAGAGACAGAGAGGAAGATCTTCCATCCGATGATTCACTCCCCAAGTGAGCCGCAACGGGCCGATACTATGCCGATCCGAAGCCAGGAGCCTCTTCCGGGTCTCCCACGCGGGTGCAGGGTCCCAAAGCTTTGGGCCGTCCTCAACTGCTTTCCCAGGCCACAGGCAGGGAGCTGGAAGGGAAGCGGGGCTGCCGGGATTAGAACCGGCGCCCATATGGGATCCCGGGCGTGCAAGGCGAGGACTTAACCACTTGCGCCACCGCGCCGGGCCCGACTCTGACTTTCAAATAAAGAAATACGCTAAAAAAATACAAGGGGGCTCAGCACGGTAGCCTAAGGGTTAAAGCCTTCACCTTGCATGCACCAGGATCCCATATGGGTGCCAGTTTGTATTCTGGCTACCCCGCTTCTCATCCAGCCCCGTCTGTGGCCTGGGAAATCACTCGAGGATGACCCAAAGCCTTGGGACCCTGCACCCACGTGGGAGACCCAGAAGGGACTCCTGGCTTTGGATCGGCTCAGCTCCAGTTGTTGTGGCCACCTGAGGAGTGAACCAGCGGACAGATCCTTCTCTCTGTATGTCTGACTTTCCAATAAAAACAAATAAACATTAAAAAAAAAAAAAAAAAAAAAAGAAGTCGTAGTTCTAGGGCTGGTGTTATGGTAAAGTGAGTAAGCCACCACCTAAGACACCGGCACCCCATATGGGTGCAGCCTACTTTTGACTCCCTGCTAATGTCCTGAGAGAGGTGAGAGACCTGAAGGAGGCTCCTGGCTCCTGGCTTCAGCCTGATCCAGTGCTGGCTTCTGCAGCTCACTGAGGGCGGAAGCCATCTTTGCTTCCATGTAACCGACTCAAAATAAATAAATCTTTAGAAAAAAAAAAGTTGAAACAGCCTAAGATATTAAGCAGCAGGTCAAGGTTCCGCTTGCTGGGGAGCCCCTTTCCCGACGATGAGCAGAGCAGCAGGTGCTGGGCTACAGCTTCAGCACTGGACAGTCTCCGGTGAATGTCAAGTGCACGCAGGAGATGAACAGCACGCACTTCCAAACGTACAGGCAGCCCCGCCCCAGGCAGTCCTCACCTGTAGATGTGAATGTCTTTGCATCTCCCAATCCGGTCACACCACTCCTGGGCCTTGGCGTCCATCACCGGGTTTAGGTCATTGTCGTAGAACACGACAGTGTCGGCCTCCACGAGGCTGACCCCTGTGGCACGGCTGTGAGTGGAGAGAAGGGCGCAGAAGACCCGCCTGTCCCTGTTGAAACTCCGCATCAGCTCCTGAGACGAAACAGGACATTGCACCTTTGACGCCTCAGACACCCATCAGCCAGAGACCCCCACCAAGCTCACGGCAACCACCTGGCACAGAGCTTGGCACAGGCCAGTGTTGGAATTACACCAGAGAGGAAGCATCTTACTCTGGCTCTTCGGGCCCTTGCACCAGCCTGCTACCTGCAGGTCACAGACACCTGTAGGCCCTCGCTCAGGAACAGCCCGCAATGAGTACGGAGGAACGCAGCTGTCCTCATGGTTACTGTCAGCTCAATCTGTAGGCCCCAGAAGAAGTTCAAATCTTCTTGGGGAGGGATTTGTGCTTTCTCATTTATCCTCAGGCAATGCCAGGACACTTTACAGGCAAAACCGTCCTGGAGTAAGGCTGAGGAAGCGGGTCAAACAGAAGCACCGCAGCGTGCATTTCGGCCTTGCCCAGGACAGTGGACCACCAGAGGGCCTGCCCGGATTCAGCCGTCTGCAGCCCGACTGCCTTGCACAACTCTGCTGCACTGGGCTTTCTCACGGCCTTACCAGCCCACATGGGTAGTGCCAGCAGCCGGACTCTTTAGGATGTGGCCCACAGAACACTCTTTCATTACTCACTTTTCCTTACGCGGCCATCTAAACGCTGGTACAATGAACCAGTGAGTGCACAGAATGTTGAGTGGCATGCTGTGTACAGCTTCAGGTTTAGAATCTCTAGACAAAGCATAACTACATCACGGCTCACGTCAGGCCTCCTGCTCTCTCTCGAGAAAGCCAGCAGATCTGTCCCTGCCCCTCTCCCTCAAGGATCTGGGCACTCTCCGGGTTTCCGGCCACCTCCGGAACACATCAACACGGCCTGATGCTGACTGCTGGTCGCACTCTGCTGCCTGTGCCCAGGGGGCTCGGGACAGCCTCTTCCTCCCCTGGCCACAGGGGCACAGATCCGCAGGATGCGTAGGCACTCAGACACAAGCCTCAGACCTGGTGATTAAAGTCACAAATATTAACAAGACGCGTGGCTTCTGGCTTACTTGCCGCTGTTCACTGCTGGCGTTTTCATCAATCCGTATGTAGGTGAGGTGATGGAAGTTTAAGAACATCTCTAGGATGTCCAGCATCAGAATCATCTGCGACAAGATCAGCACCCGGCGTCCTTCGGATCTCAACTTCTGCAGCAAGGGCGCTAAGGCTTCCAACTTCCCTGAGGATGCAGCAGCATTGGGGCGTGTTGGCAGGGAGGGGCGTCACCTCCCAGGCCACCAGCCTCTAGCAGGCCCCTTGTACCTGAGTCAAACTGGACCAGCCTCAGCTCAGGAAACTGCAGGGAACGCAGAGCTGTCCAGCACCGCAGCTGCTGGAGGAAGGGGGCCGCGTGCTCCTCCAGGCGCTGTCTCAGGACCCGCAGCCTATGGCTGTACAGAGAGGGAGGCCTCGCCACGCAAAGGGATGGAGGTGCAGCCACCACAGGGGGGATCACACAGGCCACCCTAGGGGCAGACAGTGGGCGTGGTCACCAGGTGGCCCATGCTTCATACTTGGCAAAACTCCAGAACTCTGACTCAGTGGTCACAGAAACCAGTGTTGGGATTTAGTCACCACAAGTGGCAGATCATAGTGAGGGAAGGGCAGAATGATGCCTGCCGGCCCAGGCCTTAGCAGCCAGGGCAGGAATTCGCACAGCTCCCAGAGCGGGTTCCAATGGGCCCAGCCCATTCTGGGAGAGAGGCACGAGTGGACTTCAGATGCTACAGCCACTGCCTTCCAAGAAGGGCCCTGTCAACAGCAGGACATGACGGCATAGCAAGCCACCTGTGCCATAACTGTCAGCTGAGTGGGGCTCCTGTGACTTTGTCCCAGCTGATTCTAAACCCAGCAGTTCATCTATAGGTCCAAGGGACCACAGACTGGACAGACAGTAGGGTGGCTCCATTGTGGCATTGCCCATTCATCTCTCTATACCCACTTGCTCCTTGTCTGAAGGTCTAAGACAGAAGACCCAGGGCTGAATCATGGCACAGGGAGCAGCAAGGCTCTCCTGTGAGTGGAACAACTGGGAAACAGCCATTGCAGGAAAGCAAGCAGCAGCTGAGGACACCCTGGGCTGAGGGCCCACAATCACAGACCCACAAGCAAGGCGAGCCCTTCTGGGAGAGCAGCACAGTCATTCATGGCATCTGCAGCCCAATCTTGCACATACTTCTCACCATGACCCATTCACTTACGCACGTGCTTATTTCAGTTAAAGAGCTTTTTTTAAAAAAATGTATTAATTACATTGTATTATGTGAAGTTAAAGGGCTTTTCAATCAGCAGCAGCACTAACAGCTGAGGAGCTTTGAGTCCACTTGCAGCACCAGGGGATCCAGACACCAAAGCTCAAGACCTCAGACAGTGACACCCACAGGATGGTGGGACAGGGCCCAAACGACCACAGGAAAGGCTGCCCCACAATAGACAGGCCACTCACCTGCCCAGCACATCCTGCAGGGTCCCCAGCAGGTCACTCTGACTCTGTGAGGGGGACACGTGACTGTTGGCCAGTCCAGCCCCCTTGCCAGGCAGGTGTGCTCTGTCCGGCAGCGAGCAGACCCTCAGCAAGTCCCTGCCGTACACGGGGGCCTGGCAGCAGCGCCGCTCATTGGCAAGGTGGATCTGGTCCAGCCGCTCCCTGAGAAGTCTGGCCTTTTCCTCCTGTGCAGAAACAATGCTGAGAACCTCAGGCCTCCCCTCAGCTGTTCCACTCTGTGCTCGCCAGGAACAGGCAAGCAGATGCAGAGAAGAAAGCCATGGCCCCACCCTTGCCAGCAGCAGGAGTACATGTAAAACGTCGAAAACCTCTGCTGCAACCCAAAGCCCATAAAAGAAGCCCAGACTTCTTTTATATCAGGAAACATATTTTAAAATCAAAATTCCACAGCCAGAGAAGCTGCTCCTGAAATCACCTGAATCAGAGAAGCCACAGCCATGGCAGAAGGTGACTAGACTAAGGGGATGTAGGTGGGGTAGCTTACCTGGGTAGGCCCTCCACCAGGGGAGGCTGGCTTAGAGGCAATCCCAGCTTCTCCCACAGCCACTCGACCTGGAACACCAGCTGCAAATGCAAATATGGGACGTTGCAGGGAACACAAAGCCGCCGGTCACAGGTAGTTGCGTATCAGCAGCCAGGAGCCTTGGCCTCCAGGTGCGTGCCCCACAGGGGCCATGTGCACATACCACCAAGGTGTGCAACAAGCACACAGCCCTGGTGTTTAAAACCCTCAATGCAAAATCACTCAGGACACATTCAGGACTGTTTCCCATTCCTGCTCCTGACACTGTGCCCAGCACTAGCCAGAACCAGTCAGTCAGCTGGGCACCCCTCTGAGCACAACAGCAGCTGTTACAGGGGAGTGGTCAGGGGCATCTGAAGCTCAGCAGACACCTCAGGGCAAGAGTGGGGAGGAACTGAAGTTACAGAATCTGGCACAGACTTCACACCAGCTCTGGCGTGCCTGAGAGATAGGAGGAGGGATCCATGGGGCTGAGACCTGCCCATACTGAAGGGCGGACTGCAGCTCTTGGACTGCAGAGGGGAGGGAGGCTGGAGAAGCGAATGGCTAGCTCTCAGAGTACTGGGAAAATCTGGGAGGTAGGACCCATTTCTTCAACTGGCGAGGAGGATGGCTGCACTGACACCCACAGAAACAGGTGACACCCTGCCCCACTCCAGCCCGGCAGCCTCCAAGGCACAGCCAGACACAGCTCCACGGGCCTGGCAGCAGCCCTGCCTGGGCACCATGGACCAGGCGCAGGGCAGAGGATGCTCAGTGGTCAGCTCCAGGGCCTTGCTTGCTTCCAAGTCCATCCAGGCAGAACTGGAACCCCAGCAGGAGAAGAGAGACATTCAGAGTGAAGCAGGTGTTGGGACGAGGCCAGGCCTGGGAGGCCAGCAGCTGTGGGACACGGGTCCAGTGCAAATGAGCTTGCTGTCACCTTACACTCCAGGACAGTCCCTGAGGTATGTGTGCTATACTAACAAGTAAGGCTTCTCATGGTCCCAAGAGTCTTGTTAGGATAAAACCAAAACTACATTCTTATAACAGTGGAGGCGGGTTACAAGCAAAGGACAAAGGGAGAATGGAGCAGACACAGGGTGGGACCACACTGGCTGCCAAGCTCCACTGAAGCACACACCTGTCTTCCACTGCCCGGACAGGAAATGAAGCCAGCAGGAAGAGTCCTCCTTCTGTTCAGAGCACCCTACCTGGTGGGGTCAAGGGCGCAGGACTGGGGCCGCTGGCGGGGGACTTGCTTCCCAGGGTGCTGTGCACAGCCCCCGTCTGAGACACGGTCTGCATCACCACAGGGCCAGGGGCTCGCAGGTAGGGCTGCCCCGGGGCTGACACGATCTGGAGGACGCTGCCTGCAAGCACAAGTGCACCAGGCCACATCAGTTGCACCGGTCCTCCAACATGCTGCTGCCACCCGGTGGCAAACAAACACACTGACACTGAAAACCCAACGTACCCAGACAGATCAATGCAAAGTTGAGCTCCTTGGAGGGGCTGAAGCTGGGGCTCAGAGGGCCAAGACACTGCCGTGCCGTGCCACGCCAGAATTCTCATATGAGGGCTGGTTTGCATCTCAACTGCTCTACTTCCCACCCAGCTCCCAGGTGAAAACAGGAAGATGGTCCAAGTCCTTGGGCCCTTGCACCCATGTGGGAGACCCAGATGAGCCCTAGGTTCCTGGCTCTGGCCTGGCCCAGCCCTTGCTCACGGAGTTAACCAACAGATTTTAGAGTTTTTTCTCTCTTCTGCTCTATAACTCTTAAAAATAAACAAGTCTTCAACGTGTGCACCACTCCAAGGAGCCACCCCGCTGCACCCCAGCAGCACCTGGCAGCCGCTCAGGGTGATGGCCAAGCCAGTGCCAGACAGCACTCCTAAGCTGTCATCTCAGTGGGGAGCAGCAGATGACCACCACTGAGAGGAACTGACTGCATGACTAAGTCACTGCTGCATCGCCACTCAAGGTTAATTCTTAATCTCAAAGCTAAGTCCCTCACCTTCTTCAAAAGCAATTACTAGATACACCCTGCTCTTAGCTAATCGTGTGGCCACTCATCTCTGAACATTTCACAAGAATCTCCCTCTCGGGTACATGCTTCAACCTCATCTGCAAAGTGGGCACCACTACTCTGGAAGCTGTGCAGGGTGAGGCTGAGCACAGCCGCCTGCAGACAGACCCTGTGCAGCAAAGCAGCCAAGGGACAGCAGCGCAATCCCAGCAGGCAGTGCCTCCTTCAGCCTCCTCTTGAGCAGCTGCTCTTACCTTGAAGCTGCAGGGGCTGGCCGGCCGTGAGCTGCCGGAGCTGGCTGTGCGACAAGGTGAACTTGTTGCCCTGGAACTGCAGTGTCACAGGTGTCTCGGGCTGAGTGACCCGGCTCTGTGGTCCTGCGATGGACGCCAGCTGTGCTATTTTTACTACCTCTCCACCTGTTGGATGCAGAGGAAAAGGTAACTTCGGTACCTAGACAATGGCTTGTCACGTTAAACGACCACCTACGGTATGCTGAGGTCACAGAAACATTTCTTAGGTATTGCTTTCTAGAATTTTAAGAAAACAAGATGTTTTAATAGAAACAGAACAACAAAATACCATATTTTAATGGTTAATTTATCTACAGCTGACAGAGATTTCAGATATCAGATGTTAATATTATTAACAAAACTATTAAGGAATATTTTTCTTTTCTCCCCAAAATAAAATAGCAGCAAACATTAAAATTACCAGAAACATATTTCTTACAGAACCAGAAACTCACGTAAAAACTTTAATTTAGGGGCTAGCACAATGGTACAGCAAGCTAATTTTGCCCTGCGACAGCAGCACCTTGTACATGCACTGGTTCGTGTCCCGGCAGCCCTCTTCCCATCCAGCTCCCTGCCTGTGGTCTGCAAAAGCAGCAAAGGATGGCCCCAAAGTCTTGGGAGCCTGCACCTGCATAGGAGACTTGGAAGACACTACTAGCTCTTAGTTTCAGATCAGTTCAGCTCTGGTGGATGTGGCCATTTGGGGAGCGAACCAAAGGAGAGAAGAACTCTTCTCTGTCTTGCCTTTCCTCTCTATAAAATATGCCCTTCAAATAAAAACAGATAAATAAAAAACAAAAACAAAGTATGTGGCCTGCAGCAATGGTTAGGTGGTTAAATCCTCATTTCCAAGTGCCAGGATCCCATATGGATGCTGGTTCATGACCCAGCTGCTCCACTTCCCATCCAGCTCCCTGCCTGTGGCTTGGGAAAGCAGCTGAGGACGGCCCAAAGCCTTGGGACCCTGTACCCACTTGGGAGACCAGGAAGCAGCTTCTGGCTCCTGGCTTTCAGATCAACTCAGCTGCAGTCACTGTGGCCACTTGGGGAGTAAACCAGCAGACAGGAGATCTTTCTCTGTCTAAATCTGCCTTTACAATAAAAACAATAAATCTTTAAAACAAACAAATGAAAACAAGTAAGTCCAACCTCAGAAAACTCAAAGTTTGAAAAAACTCTGTGTGCAGCTCTGACACCCCACAAGAGCCAGTCCCATCCTGCTGCAACAAGCTGGGCCAGCGGCAGAGGACAGCCCAGGGACACAGGCGAAACACATCAGGCTGCTGGCCTTCGCCTGGTCTCGACGTGCTCAATGCGGTCATTTGGGGAGTCAACCAGCGGATGAAAGATCCCTCTTTCTCCCTCTCTGTAACTCTGCCTTCCAAATAAATAAATAATAAATAATATAAAAGTGACATCATTGCAGACAGGAAACAGTAACTGTCTTCAAGATAGCTGTAACTTTACAAACTCAAGGAATGTATTTAAATCCAAAAACAAATCAATTAGGTAAAATATAAAGGCTTAAGATCCTAGGATATGATTTGTTTACCGCAGAAAGGTACAGCTGCATTACACGCTCATCTCAGTCAAGTACTCTCTGTGGGCTGTAACTGAACAAGTTTAAGATGTTTTACCCAATGTCTGATATTCAAATCTAAACCCTTGCCCGAGAAAGTCCATGCCAGGATGATTAGTGATGCTATGAAGAGAGCTGTTAGTAAGAGTCTGGAGAACACCTGAGCCCCGTCGACAGGAGGGTTAGACAGGAACAGAAACGCAAGTCTCCCGTCGGCCTCCTCGGGCCCGCGACTGCCTGCGGCCTTCTCCTGCACAGCAGTGTGGCCACTCCCAGACAGCGGCAGCAGCAATCAAACCGAGCTCAGCAGCTCTTCGCTCAGCCACGTCTCTCCCTTCACCTGTCCCGGAAAGCCTCAATGCACTTTTGAAAAATCAAGAAATAAAGTCCAGGGGATGGCATCACAAATGACATACACTGTTAACAGCTTCAGTCAGGATGACGCCCATGGCACGGCAGATGGAGGAACGACACAGGATTTTAAAACCAGCTGACTTCACTGGCCACACTAAGAAGTTCCATACAAAAAACAAACAAATAAATAAAAAGTAGCATTGTGATGCTTTAGCCACTGAATTACTACAAGCTCTCTTAGTTGAGCCATTCCTCATTCCAAAGGTCCACCTGGTAGTAAGAGGCCTAAAGCCAGTCCGTACTGCTGGTCAGGAGCTGCCAAGCCCTACAGGCGCCCCAGAGCACTGGTGGCCAATATGAGGGGAGGCTGCACGCAGCACAGCAGAGCGGGCCGGGAGCTCAGAAAGAAAGCAAAGCTGGGAGTGGGAGGGAGGTGCAGAGAGAAGGCCCCTCCCAGGGATCTGAGGACTGGGACAAGGAAGAGACGGAGGAAGTGGACAGCAAAGCCTCTTCTTAATGCACCCTCTTTGGGGGAAGAGACGGCAGAACCCGGGAAGACAAGGCCACTTACTGGGCAGACGGGCCTGGGCCTGGGATGTGAGCACCAGCCTCTGAGGCAGCGGGCTCTGCCCGGCCGCGAGCGCGGGGGCCTGGGGCTGGGGCTGGGGCGGGCCGGGGGCAGAGGCCTGCGCCGTGCTCTGAGCCCGCAGTTTCGCAGGATGGGCTGGGCTAGCGGACGTGCTGAAGGTCGAGGCGGGTTGGTGTCGAGCAGCACTGCAGGAGGCCTGAGAGCTCTGAAACGGGGCGGCTGCTGCTGCAATCAATAAGGTTGGTTTGTGTAAAGCTGTTAGAGGCTCTTCAATACAACGCAATGTTTCACACTCGAATTTAAAAAAAAACAAAACAAACATTTCACACAGTTCTCAGATGAGAAGCCCTCTCTTGAAGCAGCAGCAGGGGCCAATCTCAGGGCACAGGGCATGAGGCACACAAGGCCCCACCTCTCGTGCGGCCTGTTCAAGTGGAGCCCCTCCGCCACTGCACAGGGCTTGCCTCAGGATGAACCGGAAGCAGAGCGAGCCCAACAAACTCTCAATCAATCCTCTTCCCAAGACACACAGAATGCAGTCTCCATTCTCATCTTTACGGGCAACGCTGGCAAGAGGCACTCCTGCACGTCCATCTGCGTCTCAGAAAACCACCACGGACACACAACACAGAGAAGCCCTCTCTCCACAGGTCACTGCCTCCTGTCCTTCTCTGCAGGAATGGTCAGGTTAACTGGAACCCTAGCCTGTAAACACACCACCACTGTGACATCAACAGTTACCCAAAATGAAATTTCTTACTGGGAGGAGAGCCGGGATCCAGTATATAAAACTAGAAGTCTAAAATTCATGGAGAACTACACAGGATCTTTCCAGAGAACCTATGGACAGTTTCCGTCCCCAAGAAGACTGCTAACAGTGGCCACAGCACAAAGCAAGGGCGGCTACTGAGACATACCTTTTGCATCCGGATTTGCAGAGAAAGTGGCGATCGCTGGTCGTCCTCTCTGTGGGCCCTGTGGAGCTGCCGTGGCTGGGTGGCTGGTGGCAGTCCGGGGCGGGTGTGTGCTGGGGAGTGCCACAGTGCGACCCTCGGGCTTCTGGCCGTACTGTACCGGCTGAAACAACCTGGACAACCATTGGTCCAGGCGGGAGACACAGAGAGCGTCACTGTGCTGCAGATGGCCCCAGGGGACAAAGACCTGCTCAGGAGGCTGTGAGGGTTCCCCACTGGGGGAAAAGCTGGGGATAGATTCTAAGCGTAGCTTTAAGGAGCTCGGAGCCAGGAAGAACTGCTGGAAAGAAGCAAGCCCTGGCACACAACTCTAGTTCTCAGTGAGACAGAGAACGTTATCTTAATTCTTAAGTTCATATCAGCATTGGAAAAGAAAAACACACACTGAGTCTCTAACTCCATCCTTTGGAACAGAATGCTATGGAGTGTGTGGCAGCAGGACAGCGCCATGGCAGCTCACACAGGAACCAAGGGTAGCAGCCGGAATCGGCAGTCAAGCCAAGTGGCCTCTCCTAGATGGCGTCAAGGGGAGGTGCTCCTATCTGCTGTCTGGAAACCAGAACGGCAGTTGGCAAAGACCCCATACAAAGCAACCAGCACACATGGAAGTGAAGCCAGTGCAATATGTTGAGTGCCATTGCTGCCCAAACCCAGAGCACAGGCTGTTACTGCGCTCCTAAGCTGCACAACTGACTGTCTCCCCCAAATCCGTTTTCTTTCTAACTCCAGCCTATATATAGGCACGAATACTTTGTATATTTCTAATCACTAAGTCACTGCTATTTTGAAAACATCATCTGACACCTGCACAAATGAACTAGGGATCCCTCGTAACAATGTCCCTGCAGCCAGACAGAGCCCTCGGCCGGCCCTCCCCATCTCACAGCACACCCTGGCTGTGGTGTCTGGCTGGCCGGAACAGCTGCCACCACATCAGGCCCCAAGCTGTGCCCCATGGAGGTGAGTAGCTATGGGCACTGCCCAGGGGCCTTTGTCTTTGTCTTTCTTTTCACCACAGACAGCCCACCAGTGTCAGCAGGGACAGGGTGGGGGAAAATTTCGTGCACCTGCCATCCACACGCACGCACCTGCTCGCCTTGAGCTTCACCGCGGCGGGCCGAGGGGTGGGAGGTGGAGAGGTAAAAACCTCCTCCATGAGCTTCCGAGTCACCTTCTTCTTAGACAACAGCTCTGCTTCATGGCGAGTGATCTGACTCTCCAACCCAATTAGGTCAAATATAGAAAGATCGGTTTCCTGAGAAAGGAAAGCCATTTTGCTTCAGAAGGTAGAGAATGCACCAGATGAACTGGAATGGGGGATGGCAGAAGCATCTCCCCGAGTGAGCTACCTGAGATCTCACCCATTCCCGGGGCCTGACTCCTGGCCACCGCATGCCCACAATCAGAATGACAGGGGCACACGGTCTTCCCAAGTGTGGCATGCGCAGTAAAGGCAGCAGGGGGATGCCTGGATTCCTGTGGTAAGCAAGGACAGTGTCCAGGAAAACTCCGCAGAGACGACGTGAAGACAAAGGTCCTCGCCCAGAAGCAGAGGAAGGAGGAACTGTGAACGCAACACAGGTGAGCCACCTCCTCTAGTCCTGGGACCCCCACGTTCAAGAACACTGAGGACAATGCACCCAGCCACACTTCTCTAGGACTTTCAATAATGCAGGATGAATCACAACAGTGTTGGCGAGAGAGACCAGCACGTGCTGTCTGGACGTGAGCAAGCCAGCCACTCATGGAGAAGCACAGGGGCCCGTGGCTCCTCAGACAGCTCTGCACGGAGAACAGAGCAGCAGCTGGCCGGTGGGCGAGGCTGCTACCGAGGACACCACACACCACAGTGTCCAACACCAAGTCCCACTTCACTTCATTGCTATCACTGCACAGAAAATGGTTGAGATTCTAATTTTATCTTTTGCATTTTATGGCTCCTCCGTGCCTGCCCAGAACAACACGGACCCCAGCAGTGCCCTGCAACACCTCTCGTGATAGCTGCCATTGCATTAAGGCCTAGGAACTAGAGCAAGCATAACTGGAACACTGCTGAGCAGGTATAGCCTCAAGCACTTGTAAAAGCAGAAGGGGAGTAGGCTGGAATGCAACTTCCAGAACTGACGGCTCTATAGTCGGCCTTGAGAAGCTCTTGGGCACTGACTGGGCTCCCTACTCACCTTCCAAATGTCCCTATCCAGCGCCTTCAGGACCAGAGAGGCCAGGCGGTAGTGCAGAGGCCCCGCCACGTAGGAAGCATGCGGCAGCCGGGGCTCCACCAGCCCGGGGTGGTTGCAGATGCGCTGTAGCCTTATCAGCACGCTTAGGACGCTAACAAAGTGTCCGCTCTTTAGAGCCTCCTGAGTTCTGCATGGGGAGAAGTGGACAAGCACATTGATCACCCAGACTGCTCACAAGCCACAACCCAATTCCAAAACACAGGGGTGGCACCATTTCTTGGGCTTTGGTTAATGAGTTAGTTACGCAAAACACTCCAGGTTTCCTGCTCCCGCACCCACCAGCAGAAAGCGACTGTGTGACACCTCATCTGTTCATTGCCTGTCAGTCTGGGTGCCCAGAAGGCACTTGCCCTTCTACTAGGAAGGCCACTCCACAGGCAAGAGTCACGTGTCCAGTCACAGCATGAGTGCAACGAGTGTGTCGAAGGAGACGAGCAGGGGCCACTGAGTGCACTCTTCCATGGTTTGTTTTAATTATCTATTTTTTTTTTACTTGAAACAGTTCACTTCCAAAGGTGGGACAAGAGTCAGGGCTGGGCTGAAGCCAGGAGCCTGGAACTCAATGGGAGAGTCCCCTGTGGGTGGCACGGCCCCACTATGTGAGTCATCCCAGCATCCTGCCAGGGAGCACAGGAGTGGACAGCTGGAGTCAAAGCACAGACAGGACTCAACCTGCGCATTCTGACACGGGATGCAGATGGACAAACAGCACAGCATGTTAATTTCTGATCCAATGCCTGCCCCCAAAGTGCACTGTGAAGGCCCAGCGGTATTGGCTAAGGAAGAGGCTGGACCACCGCCAGCCCGGGGGCCAGGCTGTGAGGTGATTGGGAAAGCTGCCAGCAGCAGTGCTGTTTCCATCACTAGAGCTCCCCACTAAAGTGCCTGGAAACACAGCAGAGAACAGCCTAACTGCTTGGGTCCCTACACTGCAAGAAGCTCCTGGGCTTGGACCAGTCCAGCTCAGCTCTGGCCATTGTGGCCACTTGAGGCATGAACCAGGAGATGGAAGATTGTCCTTCTAACTCTGCCTTTCAAATAAATAACCTCTGAATAATTAAAGAAACAAAAAAGAATGAGTCTCCAGGGAGAGTCTTTGTCCTGTGCTCACAGGGAGTGGCAGGTGAGCAGGCCACGCCGTGGGTGTTTTAACACAGTGCCTGCAATGGCAGACAGACAGGACAGACCCATAACTCATACAAGGACAGGTCTCCGTAGGTGGAGAAAGTCACAAGGTGAGCTCAGTGCATCACATGCCCCAGATGGGAAGGAGGTGACAGGTCTGACAGACTTGCAAAAAGGAAAGGAGTGGACAGAGCCCTGGCAGGTTTTCAACCCAAAACCATGCTAGATGATAGCAACCAGCAGAAAGTCAGGCTGGGAAAACACCATGGGCTGAGCTGGGATACGTAGAACTGGGTGCTCAAAGGACCAGGCAGGTGCAGTGGCAGGCATGAAGGGAGTCTAATGAGACAAGGGCCATGAAGAGGAGCTGGAGAGGAAAGGCAGAGGGGACCGCTCTGCATGGGCTGGGGCAAACCGGGTCAAAGGACACACTCAGAGAGTAGACAGTGCAGCACAGCCATTCCTCACTGGGTGCAGCTCATCTGTGAGAGCTACACAGAAACCTGGCCAGCCTGTCAGAAGCTGGAGCACTCACACGCAGACCCTACAGGACAGCTGCACACAGGATCTCTGCTGGGAGAATGGGGCGTGTCCAAGTCCACACCTACCCTGGCTGCAGAATGACATCTTCGTACAAGGCCTTCTGGCGGTTGGAGAGGCGGCACTTCAAAACGTGCTCATACTTCTTTGTCAACTGCTTCTCCACATCTCTCTTAGTTCTCCTCAAAATAAATGGCTGTGTTACCTGAGGGGGCAGGAAAAGTACCGGGCTGTTGTTGTGGTCTTTCTCCAAGCACAAGGCCTGGTCATTACTTGGCTGAACTCACGCCGTCACACCTACCCTGTGCAGCCTTATGACCACTTTGTGGTAGTAGTCCTGGTTCTCGTCACTAGGAGCTCTCAGAGGGAAGCTCAGGTAAGGCCTGGAGATCCCAGGGATCAGGAAGTGCACCATGGTCCAGAGCTCCAGGAACGTGTTGTGCAGTGGGGCGTCGATCAGAAGCAGGCGCTGCTGACTACAAATACACAGAAGGTCACGGTGAAGCACCACACAGCAGGGAGAGCCACCGCCTGGGACGCTGGCATCCCGTTGGGCACTGGCTCAAGTCCAGCTGCTCCACTTCTAACTCAGATTCCTGCTAATGGCCTCAGAAAGCAGTAGGAGATGACATAAATGCTTAAGCCCCAGAACCCATGTGAGAGACCTGGCTCAATTTCCCAGCTTTGGACCAGCTCAGGTCTGGCTATTGTGGTCTTTTGAGGAATGCACTGGCAGACTGAAAATATTTCTCTTTCTTTCTCTTTTTCTATGTAATTCTGACTTTCAAATAAACAAACCGTATCTAGGAAAGAGGATGAAGACACGGATCAGCTTCCTGAGCTCTCGGGGTCTCTACCATGTGCACCATGATAAAGTGAGGAGCCATGTGTCTGCAGTGACAGCACTGCCCACACGCGAGCCACATGCGGTGCCAGTGGGGGTCAGACCTCTGCAGGGTGAAGACGGCTTCCCAGTGCCTCTCGGTCATGCCCTTCACACGCTGCATCTCGTCGATGACCAGGCACTTCCAGCACACGCGGGAGAAGGACGCGTACCCCTTGAAGAACTGCTTGTAGGACGTGATGCAGATGTGGAAGCTGTTGGGCTCGGCCCACTCCTGCAGCACACAAAAGACACTGCCACCCTGCTCTCATGCCTGTGTCCCCGTGACACAGCAGCCCACCTTGCAGCACTAAGCTGCACTCTTTCCACTTAAAACAATTTTACTCATTTTTCTCAGCACTTCTATCACTGCACAGAAAGCTGCAAGCCGCTTGCAGGCAGGGGCAGCCACCATCTGAAGTGAGTACTTCCAGGGCTCTGAAGGTACAAACTTTACAGCATAAAATCACAAGAGGGAAGAGGTACTCAGAAGGTGACAAACGTTATCTAGCGCTGCCAACTGGGTGTGCTATCACCTTTCAAAAAGAGTAACAACTGCAGATGGTGTGACAGTTTACGGCGGCCTCTGCCCTGCCCCACATGGAGGGCACAGGAGGAGGGCATCACGCTGGGAAAAGGCAGGAAACATCAATACCTGTCTCTTTGCTCGGAGCTCTCTGTGGCTGCCGACCCAAGATAGAGTCTTGAGCCCAGGACACCAGCGCTTCAGTTCAAGCTCCCACTTGAGGATGTTACGGCTTCTCACCACAACCAGATGAGGGCCCCAGTTACCTACAAGGAAGAAGGAGGAATCACCACCCATGCCAGGCACCCACACCCTGCTTGCCTGACCGGGTCCTCCCTGGCACCACCTGTGCTGCTGCCTTGGGTCGGTCTGCCTGACCCAGACACTAACCGCTCCACAGCCACAGAATGAACTCAGCATCTCTTCAAGTCCCTGGTGAGCACCAGCCTCAAGTCTGTGCCTAGGCAACACTGAGTAAGGGGCAGCAGCAGCCCCAAGCATGCGCCCGCAGCCGGTGCCTCATCTGGGGGTGCAGGTCACACTGGCACCCACCCTCTCATCACAACATCCAAGTAAGCAGTCTCCACCTCATACTTCAGAAAACCAAGGATTTTAAAAACATCATTAGACTATAAACACAGCAATCTAAGTTAAAACGCAAAAATGGCAGACTTCGAAAAACGACTGTGGTATATATACCTACTCTGACTCTGATGAAACAACCAACACCAGAAATCGACCAGGGATGGGGTGAACAACATCAGAGAGAACCACCACAGGGCTCCAGCACACAGTCTAAGCCAGCGCAAGGACACACGTGGAGGACAGAGCCGGAAGGCTGGCCGGCCGCGCCATCTCAAGAGTAACCACACACAAACCTCTGGTGTTCCACTGACAAACACAATTCGGAGCCAGAACCAGCCAAGAAGCTCCCTGGCTGCATGATGCTGGGGCTTCCCAGAGCCAAGTGCACAGCACAGTCATTCATGGCGACATGGTGCTGCCCTGGGCAGTGACCAGAAGGAATGCCCAGAGACGGCTCCCAAGTTGAAGGAGTGACTCAGCAGCTGAAGAACCCCCTATACGTGGGCTCTATGCTCACGGCACACTTCTCCAGAGCACCTGCCCACAGCCACCACTTGCTGACCTTATCCTCTGAAGACAGCCACTCTTCGCATCTGAATGTCAATGTCCAGAGGATGGGGCCCTTGCTGTTCTCTCTGCATGAAGTGTCTACCTACACAGTCCACCCTGAGTGTGTCCCTGTGTTAAAGCCCCCCCACCCCACAGCACTTGGCATCCCACACACAATGCCGCATACACCAGGGTGGGTGCCCAACTCAAGACCAATCAAGGACAGGCAGTGGACACGAAGCCAAATGGCTACATAAGCTGTCTGTTAGCTGTGTGGCAAGAGGTGAGGAGGCAGGCAGGCCTGCGAGAGTGCAGTCTCCAGGAGCAGTTAGCTCTGACAGGACACCCTAGTCTGTCCTAACCTGGAGGAACCCGAGAATAGAAACGCTGTCCTGGTGAACTAAAATCTACCAGGAGACAAGAGAAAGTCTGTGGGGGTCAGCTCAGGGAGTTAGATGAGCACAGACAGACAGCCAACTCATGCCCACAGGGGGCTGTTCCACCTGATCTGCTGCCCTTCTGCAGGACAATGCCTGATGTCACAGGGCTCAGCCCCAGCCTACTGGGGATGCAGATCACATCAGATTTTGAGAAACAAGTTGCTGATGTGCTCCTGAGCCATACCCTGCTGAAGCCACAGGAAGGGTAGACGGTGATAAGAGAACCATATCTAAGCCTCAGGCTCTGGGATTCAGCCTACTGTCAAACAAGCACAACCCAAAAGACAACAAACTCGTGGTACCTTCATTGCAAGCCAGGTGAGCAAAGAAAGCGATGATCTGGACTGTCTTCCCCAGCCCGGCTTCATCTGCCAATATGCCATTAAGGTTCTTGCGGTAGAGCTTGGCCAGCCAGTCCAGGCCGATCTGCTGATAGTCTCTGAGAGCCCCATACAGCAGAGACGGAGCACTGAACTTCACCTGGAGGGACAGAAGCCAAAGAGTGACATCGTGTTGTGACAATCCCCCAAACCTTTCTCAAAATCAAAACCAAAGAAGCCCCAGGAGGGACAGCACTCTGGTTAGGCTGTCCCCTGCGACATCAACATCCCATCCTGAAGTGCTGGTTTGAGTCAAGGCTACTCTGCTTCCAATCCAGCTTCCTGCTAATGTGCCTGGTAAGGCAGAGAAAGATGGCCAAATGCTGGGGAACCTGCCACCCGTTTGGGACAAGCAGATGCAATCCTTGGCTCCTGCTTTGGCTTCACCCATGCTTAACTGTCAGACATTTGGGGGAGTAACCCTTACATGGAAAATAGTATTTCTCTCTGTTTCTCTTCCTTGCAGAACGTTGTAACATAAAGGGCTAAGCTACCACTTGTCATATCCACACCCCACAGAGTGCCTCCTGAGTTCCAGCTTTCTGTTCATGCTCTTGGAAAGGTAGCACTAGGTGGTCCAAGTACTTGGGTTCCCACTACCCAAGTGGGAGACCAGGACGCAGTTCTAGGATCCCGACTTGGCCTGAGCATTGCTGTCATGTGAGGAGGGTGGTGGTGAGGAACCACCGCACAGAAGATCTGCCACTCCCTCTCTGCTGTCCAAATAAATCAAGGTTTTATATATGTGCATATAAAGATCTCATAATACAGTTAAAGATTTATTTATTTACTTATTTGAAAATCAGAGTTAGGGTCGAGCATGGAAGCCTAATAGCTAAAGTCCTTGCTGCGCAACCACTGGGATCGCATACAGGTACTGGTTCGTATGCCAGCTGCTACACTTCTCATCCAGCTCCCTTCTTGAGGCCTTGGAAAGCATAAGAGGATTGCCCAAAGCTTTGGGCCCCTACCTGTGTAGGGGAACCAGAAAGGAAGCTCCTGGCTTTGGACCAGCACAGCTCTAGCTGTTTGGCCATTTGTGAAGTGAACCAGTGGATAGAAGATCTTTCTGTCTCTCCTCTATAAATCAATTAAAAAAAAAAAAAAAAAGAGGTATAGAGGAAGGAGGAGGAGGAGAGGGAAAGAGGAGATCTCTCCAACTGGCTTCAACGGCTGTGGCTGGGCTAGCCTGTGGTCAGGAATCAGCAGCTTATTCCAGGTCTCCCATGTGGGTGGCAGAAGCCATCCGTGGAAGTGGAGCAGTGGGAACACAAGCCAGTGGGACAGATGCCAGCACTGTAGGTGGCAGTCTTTCCCACTACAACGCCAGCGCCCCAAGAGTCCTATGGTAAACCATAGGAAGGAATCCACAAGAGTGACGTAACATAGAGAGAGCAGAGCAGAAAGTACTCTGACTCCGTGTCGGTTGCACAACGTTGCAACTAGGAATCCAGGAACAGTGTTAGTAACTGATACCCACCCCACTTTTCAGACCCTGCCCACTGCCCAGCACCTCACCGCAGTTGACACCCGGGCACTGCCCTTGGGCAGAACAGCCTCCGCAACAGCTGTCACTTCCGCAATGTCTTTTGTGTTTGGTTTTGCGACATTCACTCTCTCTGCAGCTTTAAACTGATCCATGATGAAAAGAGAATCTATGAGGACCAAGTCCCTCCGACTCTCTGGCTCACAGGGAGGCTCCTCGGCATCTACAACAGCAAGACAGATCCAACACCATGAGCAAAACAGGACCGAAGGCTGCAGAATCCACACAATTCAAACACGGCAATGAGTAGCCATCTGTTCACAACCCAAAGCCAGAGCCTTCTCACGACTCTCATGGTGGCAGCACACAGTGTGGCAGGAAGAAGTGCCCAGGGTGCATGACGGGTACAGACAAGGGTATCTCAGCTACAGTAGCATTCCCTTCACCACCTTCAAACAAGGAAAAATGAGAACCCTCCCCAGATGTGGGAAAGGAGATGGGTAGCCTCTCCCACCCATCCCGCAGAGAGCAGGGGAGCAGAAGTGGCCAGGGCCTGGCTGCTAGAAATGCCCTTGGGCGTCCTCTGCAAGCCAAAGCAAAGGTGGGGTTTTAGGCAGGATCCGTGCACCTGTCCATAAAGTCCAGCAAACAGTAGGGCCCAGCGTGGTGGCCAAGTAACCAAAGTCCTCCCCTTATACACCAGGATCCAATATGCGTGTTGGTTTGTGTCCAGGCTACTCCACTTCCCATCCAGCTCCCTGCTTGTGGCCTGGGAAAGCAGTCGAGGACGGCTCAAAGCCTTGGGACCCTGCACCCACATGGGAGACCCAGAAGAGGCTCCTGGCTTCAGATCAGCTCAGCTCTGGCCACTGTAGTTACTTGGGGAGTGAACCAGCAGATGGAAGATCTTTCCCTCTGTCTCTCCTTCTCTGTGTAAATCTGACATTCTAATAATAAATAAATCTTAAAAGAACTGTCTACTAAAAAGTAAACCAAAGTACCTGGCTTCACTGTCAGAATAAAGATGGCAAAATTGTAAGTCCATAGAACTGTGATGTGTATAAATCCAGAGGAAAAAATGTCCTTATCTTTACAACCCAATCAAATACTCTAATAACAGAATCAAATTAATAAATAAAAGCAGAGCTTAATTTTTATTCAGCTCAAGATTAAATATATATACTTCCATTTTTTCTTTCCCCAAAGAGAAGAAAAGGGACGTGTGATGCTCACTCTGAGTACTTTGCCCTCTGCTTAGAGAGCCAAACTTGGTGGAGCGTGGGAGCCTACCTTCGTCCTCACTCGTCTCGTCACTGTCAGGGCTGGGCTGGGGCCACTGGAAACCTGGCAGGAAGGCGCCTTCATACAGCTTCATCAAGTCCGTCAAGGGCAGCTCCGCTGGGGGGTGAAGGGAGAAGGCCATCACTGGACAAGGCCTGGGCTGGCCAGACCTCGCCCCTGTGCCGGACACCACTGCAGGTTTTTTGGAGAGCTGAATGCTTTGCTGCGATGTCACTGGCTGAGACTCTAACCTGAATACCCACAACCCACGGCCTCAGAACCGGCCAGGCTTTCAGATGTACCTCCTTAGCACACACGGACTTCCACAAATGTACTTCTTACAGCATAGTTATTTTTTCTAAAACCAAAGACAGTCAACCATTATTGACAGAAATCTAAATGTTTACAGTAAGATGAAAATCTTTGCAATGAACAAATTCAGATGAAAAAATAAAAATACTTCTGGAATTATCTAATAACGTGTTTAGTAAGACCTATAGACTAATAAAAATGTAATGTAAGGCCCGGCACGATAGTGTAGTGGTTATAGTCCTCGCCTTGAACGCACCGGGATCCCATATGGGTGCTGGTTCTAACCCTGGCAACCCCGTTTCCCATCCAGCTCCCTGCTTGTGGGAAAGCAGTGGGGGATGGCCCAAAGCTTTGAGATCCTGCACCCACATGGGAGACCCGGAAGAAGCTCCTGGCCCCTGGCTTCAGACTGGCTCAGCTCCAGCCGTGCGCTCACTTGGAGAGTGAATCATTGGACGGAAGATCTTCCTCCCTCTCTCTCCTCCTCTCTGTATATCTGACTTTGCCATAAAAATAAATCTTTTTTAAAAAATGTAATTAATGTAAAACATTTATAGAAAATATCTGACAGGTATGCTACATAAAAATACAAAGCACCTAATAAATGTGAAGCAAAAATAAAACAGAAAAAACATGCAAAACAGAGGCACGTGATTGCATCACGGATGAGAATTACGCTGTGACGCCCGCAGCAAGCACCTGCCCGCTTCGGATCAGCTTCCTGCTAATGGGCACCTTGGTTCCTGCCATCCACAAGGGAGATCTGGACTGGTTTCTGAGCTCCTAGCTTCATCCTGGCCAGACCCTGACTGGTGGGACATTGGGGAATGAGCCAAAAGATTTAAGATCTGTCTTTTAAATAAAACGAAAAATAAATTAAAATATTAAACAAGGGTATGGTACAGCATTCCATACGTCAATTCAGCCAATCAGCACAGATCCCATAAAAAGCCAAGAACAAGGGACGCTTGATCCATTGGTGCGGAAAGACAGGCTTTTCGGAATGGCACTGCCAGTCATGGCTGAAGAAAAAACAAACTCAACTTTAGGTTATAGATAAAAGCGGTAACCTTTTGAGGAGCTAGACATCAACTGACCATGTAAGTGGAGGTTTCAGAAGCTGCAAGAGGACACCCTGTGACCGGGAAGACACAGGGCTTGCTTTGTTTTTTCCTCTAACTCATGGCTTGAAGACAGGAGCAGCAGATGAAGCAGCCAACAGTAGAGTCACAGTACTGAGGGATCAGCACCCTCCCCCAGCCGCCACACCTCACGGAAAGTAGGAACACCCACCTTTCTCCCATCCAGAAAAAGAGGGTAGTAAGGAAACAGATCCAATTCCACTGAATGAAGAGCATCTTTCATCAATAAGCACCACAGAAAGACAGCCAAAGCAACTAGGGAAAAGTCGTGGTGCCCCAAGAACACCACACGTCATCAGGAAAGAGGTGCACAACAGAAAAAGCATGCCAAATCCAAGAGCTTCCAAGAGCCCACCACCTCCTGATGGGGCGGACCACGGCCGGGCTGAGCGCACAGGCCCGACAGCGACACTGGCTCCCGCCAACAGGCCGCTCCTGAGCAGGACAGCGGCACTCTGCTGCAGGAGAGGAAGTCCTGAGTGGCACAGGCCTGAGCTTGTTCCCTGGCATCCTGACACACAGCACGCTCTGAGACGGGTGCTGGTGACAGCAAAACCAGTGTCCAGAGAGCGCCCCACGCCCACTCCCAGGTCAGGACAGCAAGCGCCACGAGATCCAGGCACTGCAGCCACTGGTACTAGGTGTACTCTGTGAACCGCATCTCACACACAGTTTTCACATTTTTTTGTACCCATTTAGAGAAAAGCAATTTCTAACAAGACGGTGATGCCTACCTTCTTTGGCTAAATTAGAAAGCTCTGTCTGGTGATCGACGGTCCCTTCGTGTGCTTCCTCCTCCTCGATGGTCTCCTCTTCATCTTCCACTGAAAGGCGCAGTGTCAGGGTCAGTGGGCCGATGGCTCCCTGGGAGCTTTCCAGTCACCCATCAAACAATACAGGGCTTTAAAATTGTCCCTCACAGCTACTGAGCAGATTATACTGAGCTGTAGGCCCGGCATGATAGCCTAGTGGCTAAAGTCCTTGCCTTGTAGAAGCAGGATCCCATACGGGCACCAGTTCGTGTCCTGGCTGCCCCACATCCCATCCAGCTCTGTTTGTGGCCTGGGAAAGTAGAGGACGGCCCAAACCCTTGAGACTCCACACCCACACAAGACCCAGAAAAAGCTCGTGGCTTCAGATTAACTAAGCTTCGGCCACTGTGGCTTCTTGGGCAATAACCAGCAGATGGAAGATTTTTCTCTTTGTGACTTTCCAATAAAAATAAATAAATATTAAAACAAACACTGAGCTGCTTAACTTTCAGACTACATGTGTCAAGGATAATTTTCTGAATGAGCAGGAAACTGGGCAATGTGCTTTCCTTCCACCGCAGGCCCTCCACGACCTCACGGCCCACACAGCACCCTCCTGCCGCCCATGAGCCACTGCGGCCGCTGCGGAAAACACACAGCTGTCCAGGACACTATGGACAGGACCACCTCACACCCCAGGGCCCGTGCCGTCTCAATGGAGCATCCTGCCATCCAGAGACACCTGTGCAACTCACAAGCCACGACAGTGCCACTCCAGGGGACTTCCCAGGGTCCCTGGAGACCCCAAAGCTCCATGAGCCCTGGGACACTGGGTGGAGGCAGAGGTGCACCCCCCACACCCAGGGGCGAAGACAGACCTTCGTCATCAGTCAGAGAAGTGCTTGCTTTTCTTTTTCTCCCACATATTCCTGAATCCTGAAACATAGAAAGAAACTAACAAACAGGGCCTGGCGTCATGGCCTAGTAGCTAAATCCTTGCCTAGCAAGTGCCGGCATCCCATATGGGAACTAGTTCATCCCGGTTGCTCCACTTCCCATCCAGCTCCCTGCTTGTGGCCTGGGAAACCAGCAGAGGACTGCCCAAACCCTTGGATCCTGCACCCGCGTCAGAGACCCGGAAGAGGTTCCTGGCTCCTGGCTCAGCTCCAGCCATTGCAGCCACTTGGGGAGTGAGCCAGAGGATGGAAGATCTTTCTGTCTCCTTCTCTCTGTAAATCTGCCTTTACAATAAAATAAATCTCAATAAATAAATAAATAGAAAATGTTAACAAATAGGCCATCTAAAAGCACAGAAGCGGAAGTCGAGCTGCATGTACCCTAAGGACAGTAGAGAACTCTGGGTACTTGTGAACATTCAGCCACAGTGCAGCAGAGCAAAGACACAAATCTACATCCCTGCGCCTGGCTGTGTCATCCCAAACTGCCAAGGGAACACACCATGACGAGCAGCTTCCCAGCACGGCGTGCTAACTAAATCAAAGAACCCCACAAGTGACATCTCTGCTGACAAGACGCCCCAGTTCACCCAAGGGTGTGCTCACTCATGGCCCTTCCCATCTTTCCACAAAGCACAGCAGCAATCCTCAACTCACCAAGAAATGTTCCGGCCAGACTTCCACTCGGCTGGGTCTCAGCTCTTTTCCTGAGGAGACAGAACACCGTGAGCTTCCACCGAGGCTCTTCACACTCGGTGAGAGCACCTCAGCCTCCTCCCTCCCACAGCTCACAACAGCTGCCTCCGCCATCCTCCAGGAACATGCGAGACCCACAGCATCACAGAGTCCACAGGACAGACACATACAAAGACCCACTCTGCCAATCAGGGGGCACCCAGAGTCCACCCAGTAGGGGTGTGAACTCACACAGTGTCTCTCAATACAACTCAAGTCAGAGTGTAGACGGGAGGCACAGTAGTGAGCAGACCAGTCGCTTGCAAGCCTCTGGCAAGCACAAGCCTGCTGGCAGCTCGGCAACCCCTGGGAACAGGCCCTCTGGGCAGCAGTCTCCGCAAAAGATAGGCAGGACTCAGGAAAGTGTTCTGAAAGAATCATCCTACCTTTTCTGGAAGCTTTGTGTAAATTTAAAGCCTTTTTCCTTTTCTCTTCTAGTTCTACCTGTAGTTTAATCTCAACAACCTAAATACAAAGAGAAGAATAAATAAGCTAACATTAAGGACGCAAACTCTACACAAAGAAACTTTAAAACCCACAGAGGCAGCGACTCAAAAGCACAGCTGTCCAACCTCATTTCAAGTCCTTCAGGAAGAGTTCCAGTTGGGTGCTTTTCATGTATTCCGCATCTGACTGTACTGAGCTCAAACCCAGGTGCCCTGGGCCAGACCTCCTGCCCCCAAAGTTACACTGATCAGAGAGCCTCCAGGGTCCCTCTGGGGCTCTTGAACACCTCAGGGCTTGTACACTGCAGCCAACTGTTTTACCAAGTGCAGAGAAAAACATGGAAATGCTGCTTGACCTAAGCATTCTAATGAGCCAGTAGCCTCAGCTTACCTGAGAGCAGTACCTGTCTCCCAGTGCCTTACACTTGAGGCAGGAGGCCTTCCACAGCTCAAGAAAGCCTGACTGCCCCACCATTATTTAGTTCCCAGAATTCAGGGCTGGTGCTGTGGCATAGTATGCTAAGTAAGCCTTGCATTCCATATGGGCAGTAGTTCAAGCCCCAATAGCTCCACTTCTGATCCAGTGCTTGCTAATGGCCTGGGAAAGCAGCAGAGGATGCCTCAGGTCTTTGGGCCCCCACACACACGGAAGACCTGGAAGAAGCTCCTGGCTCTTGACTTCAGACTGGCCCAGTTCTAGCCACAGTAGTCACTTGGGAAGCAAACTAGTGGATCAAAGACTTCTTACTTTCCTCTCCTTCTGTAACCCTGCCTTTCAAATAAATAAAATATTAAAAAACAAAACAAGATAAAACAAGCATTCAACACAGAATTTACCTGTTCAATGTTTGACCAAAAATATTCTATCTCCCGGGCCGTTGATGCAGCGATGCGCCTCAGCCTGCTCTGCTCCTCCTTCCTGCCCCTCTCCTCACGGACCCGCCTCTCTTCATGGTGGCGTGCCACGGTTCTGACGAGCTAGTGACGAGAGTACAAGTTCATGTGGCACTGTCTGCTTAGCCTTAAGTCATCAGTATTTGTCTAATGCGCCCTCATACATGCTGGAGTATATGAGAAATGGGGGCAAAGGCCACCAACATTGGCTGACCGCAGACCCTTCTCCTCCCTAACCGGCACACTGTGCTCAGCCTTTCCCCATTCAACACACAGTGTTTCTCCACGCACTTGGTGGAGATCATGGCACCTCACATGACTGCACCACATGGATGCAGCTATTTTACCTAACTCCTATCCATGAAAACTGCTCGGCTGGGATAACTCACATGTTTAAGACATTTGCCCTAAACTGCCAAACTCTTCTCCACAAGTTTATGTTCCACACCCTCCAACAGGACTCTAAGAAAGCAGTGAAACATAAACCAGAACTGACAGTACACAAGGGGAGGTCCTGTCCACTCCAGACATGGAAATGACCCAACTGCAAGCCAGCACCCCGTGCCCTCCACCCAGTCATGTTTGTCCAGCAGGTGTCCACATGTCCAGGACCGTGCTGCTCAGTAAGGTGCCTGAGGACCAGGGGAGATTTTCTGAAGTTCCTGAGTCTGAGGTGAAGCCTCTGATATCACAGTGGACTCAATCCTTCTCTCCCTAACCAGCCAGGACACCAGCTTGGTCTGGTGCTGGGGCACCCTGATTCTAATTGCAGTGAAAATGGCAGGAAGGGGCCCCAACTCCACACGCCAGCAGACAGGACCCACGTGCTCTCAACAGCCCACACTGGTGCTCCTAATGTCGTGCCTCAGAATGAACCACACGGCAAAGCCGCCACCCGAACCCCTGGATGATATGTCTTTCAGATGTGATCAGCAAAAAGCCTTCAGAGTTGATCTGGGAAATCCACCCGCCACATCAGTCCCAACAGCAACTTCTACCTTCTTCGCAGCAGCCACCTTCCACCGCCTCTCCTGTGCGAAGTCCGTAGCCATCCACTGCATCTCCTCCAGCAGGCAGTCCCAGTGGGACCTGGGCCTGGGGGCCTCCTGCAGCTTGGGCAGGCGCCGCAGAGACCAGAGGCCTTCCTTCCTTAGGTCCGCAATCCGCTGGTGGATCTGGTTTTCCTGCAAGAGTTGGATGGAGAGGTGGGGTCAAAATACAGTTCAGATGCTGAAGACTTGAAACATTCTGTGGGGTCCTTAAGAGGGGTCCTCCAGGGAGCCCCACTCAGTAATAAGACACAGAGTTGGCTCTAGACTGATAAGCCTGCAACTGCACTGTAAGCCTTCTACAACACAAAGACCTCCCTGCATGTTATAAGAGATATGACATAACACCTGGTATCTGTTCTAAAACTGTAAGGAGGCAAAGAGAGGAAATAAGACTGTCCTATGTCACCATGTGCTGCACGTCCTGCAGCCTGCTGTGTGCTGCTGTGTGTACTACCGCTTGCTGCGTGCCGCGTGTACTGCCAAGTGCTACAGCGTGTTGACAGGTACTGACCCGTGTAATGGCAAATCATGGCAATCACTGGGGTTATGATATTCTATCTTAATGTTTCTTCTCCCCTCCCCACCCCCAAAGCATTTACCAAGGAGGGAGCATGGAGAGACTGAGCAAGAGCAAGCCAGTGAGAGCCATGATACTCTCCCTCATCTATTTGGTTAATTCTCCAAGTGAATGTACGTCAGAATTGGGCTGGACCAAAGTCAGGTCTCACCCACGTCTTGCTCAAGGGTAGCAAGGACTTAGTCACTGGAGCCATCCCCAACGGTTCAACAACAGCAGGAAGCTGGAGCCGGGAACAGAACCCAGGTATCCTGACACGGTACACTAAAGTGCTTATCCCATGAGTTGATTCTAACTTTCCTAAGCAAAATACTTGGTTACACAATAAATACCAAGGATGAAATGCAGGATAGTGAATCTCAGAGACTGGCCATAGCAGAAAGCTGAGCCAACAGCCCACACCAACTCTCCCCTTGCCACTCTTCATTCTGAGCTGTCAAAAAACAGCCCAACACTGCTGATTACCACAGACAAGTGCCTAATTCCTCTACAGTTGGTTGAACGCTGGCTTTCCATCTTGATTTCTACTCCACACACCATGTCTGAGGCCTTCTGACCCAGTGTGCAGGTGAGGTACGTGACCCATCTAGGGTTAAGACACACCCAGCCTGCAGTGCCTTGACCTCTGCTCCAGCTTCCTGCGGATGCAGACGCTGGGAGGCTGCACGGACAGCTCACTGAACACGTCTAGGAGACCTGGCTCCAGCCAGCCCTGCCTCAGCCACTGCAAGCACTTGGGGAGTAAATTGCTCCCCTTCTTTGATTTAAAACCAGGAAGTCACTCACATCCATCAAAACAAAGGTGGAAGACACAAGCCCTTTGTCCTCTGAACACTCACCAGTGTCAGCTGCTCGGCGAGCTTTTCCTGAGAGCTGTCCTGGGACGAGGCAGCATTCAGAGCCGGGCTCTGTGGTTTGGGGGCTGCTAACACGGCCACCCCTGGAGACCGGGAAGCAACAGGCGACAATGCCTTGTTGGCTGATGAGGAAGGTCTGTTCACCGGTGATGACCGCGCAGGCGGGGGTCCTGAGCCTAGGCCACTCCCAGGTACAAGGGATGAGGTAGATGAGGATGTGGGTAGAGGCCGCTGGCAGGGCTGGATGGAGTCAAGGGGTGGCCGTGCTGTTGCCACAATCTGGCAGGAAGATAAGCGAGGCAAGATCAAGACCCATCACACAGTCTATCCTAAAAGGTCCCTCAGTGGAACAGTAGCAGAAATGAATAAGCACCGCACAGGTCACAGGGAATACCACATACCAAACTGTGCCCTCAGAGCTAAGGACACTTGCCACCCACTGCCTCTCCAACGGAAGGGGCCAGCAGCACAGGGCAGCTGGAATGAGGGCAATGCAGACAACACCAGCACCCAGGGACCAAGATGCCCCCTCACCATCCACGGGGCAGCCTGGGAGGCAGGGGACGCCCAGAGCTCAAGTGGCTCCCCTACTCAGGACACAAAACTATGGCCACTAATACATTTCTGTGAGGGAGACCATGGCTGACTGCACACTTCTGCCTGAGGAGAGGCATTTCTAAAGAGACAGTTCACAGGGACACAACCCATCCACTCACTCCCAGGCCGTGGTGCCTGTGTCCACCCTTCAGAAACTGGCTGGCTGTACTGTAACTGGCCACAGTTACAGTATGTGGCCCTTCCCAGGGAGTCTGTCCACTCCAGCCAATCTACAAGCACAAGGCAGGCTTCCAGAAACTCTCTAAAGGGCTTCTGTAACGTCCCTATGGGGCAGGAGATGTAGTGTAGTAGCTTAAGTCACTGCTAGTGGCACCAGCTGCTCCACTTCTGATCTAGCTCCAAGCCAACGTGCCTGGGAAAGCAGCAGCAGATGGCTCAAGTGCTTGGGCCGTGCAGCCAAGTGCAAGACCCAGCACAATCTCCTGGCTTTGAACAGGCTCAGCTACGTCTGCTGTGGCCATTTGGAAAGCAAACTGGTGGCTGAAGATCTCCATTTCTCTGTAACTCTGTGTTCCAAGTAAATAAATACATAAATTTTAAAACTCTATAGCAGAAAGGGCCTGGGAAAAGCTCAGCTGCCTACTGAAGCTGCCCCTCCTTAGCGTGGGCACACACACAGTTTCCATGCTACCAGTCACAGCCCTACCAGGTACAGACTATGGTCTTGCCAAAATATTCAGCTTTTCAGATTTCTGTTTTTAGAAGATTCTTCCTTGGGGCTGGTGCGGCAGCATATCAGACTAAACCTAAGCCTGTGACGCCAACAGCTATATGGCTGCTGGATCTAATTCCAACTACTCCGCTTTAGATCCAGCTCTCTGCTCATGGCCAGGGCCCTGCGCCCTTGCAGCCAAGTGGGAGGCTGGGGATGGGCTCCTGGCAGGCCATGCTCTGGCTATTTAAATCATTTGGGGAATGGGTCAGCAGATGGTGGATCTCTCTCCCTGTCTCTAAAAAACAGATCTTTCAAATTAAAAAGAAAAAGAAAAAAAAAAACTCTATCATAAATAGTAATAATGCCCACAAAGTAGTGACCACAGGCCCTGACACTTCACCCTTACAGTGACAAAAAGTGAGCCTTGGGACCCTACACTAGCAATGTGGGAGACCCAGAAGAAGCTCCTGGTTCCTGGCTCCAGATTGGTTCAGCTACAGCTATTGCAGCCACTTGCAGAGTGAATCAGCAAATGGAAGGTCTTTCTGTCTCTCCTCCTCTATATATAACTGACTTTCCAATAAAAATAAATAAATCTTTAAAAAAAAACTACTATAAACCTTCAAATAATCAAAAAATCTTGAATTCCAACAGCACTTAGGAAATGTGCCTGATTTCAGGGAAGGAGAGGGTAAGAGGAGGTGTTCTTCAAGTTGCAGTGCATGGGACAGGCATTCACTGCTGGGAGGAGGGACAACTCTTGCTGCACTGCAGCTGGACGGAGTCCAGGAGGCACTGCCTCTTCTCTGGAACAGAGGCCAGGCCGCAGCTCCATCCCAAACACGGGCTGGAGTAAAGCAGTCGAGCACGACGCACAGTGTGCACCCTGCAACAGAGTCTTCTCCAAAGGGGAAGAAGCTACCTGAGGAGGAGCTTTTGGGGTTCCAAGTGTGGCTCACGTCTAGCCCACTACTTCGCTGCCACAAATTCTGGGCTAGTTCTTCCGGACACTGGTACAGTGGCACACAGCACCTCCCGTGTTTCTGAGATTTGTCGGGAAGACCCACAACAGCCTCCATACCCTGTGACTCAAACCCTGTGCGAACAGCAAGGGGCGTCCCCTGCACTACCAGCAACAATAACAGTCCTCTATGTTTTAAATAACTACTATGACCAAGTCAAATAAAAATACACTATGGCTCCTGAACCGATGGCAAATTGGGCAAATACACTGCCTTGAGAAACCGTGTCAATTACAGCACATGATACTCATGTATACAGACTGCAAGTCAGTACTATAACTAAGATGTTTTCCAACTCACAGCTGACCACAAAGAACTTACACCCACAGCATACCTGAGGCTGCGGGGGAAGCTGGGCTGCCTGCATCTGGGCTTTCCCAGGCACGGGGATGTGCAGGGCTGGCTGCACTGGCTGTGGAGGAACAGGAAGCTGGCTGGGTGGAGGTGCAGGGACAGGAACGTTCGGCTGCTGAGTCTTGAGCGGGACTTGGAGTTGTGTCGAAGCCTCCACCACCTGTGGTGTCTGTGGAAACTGCAGTGCAGAAGGGAGGGCTGCAGGGGGGACCCCGGTGGGGGGCAGCCTCGCAGGCAGTTGTGGCGGTGGGGTATGTAAGCTGGCAGCATTCTGCACAGGTGGCCCCGTGGAAGGGTCATACTGCTGCTGGCTCTGCTTCTGCCCAGCGAGCTGTGTGGTCTGAGGGGCTGGGGGCATTCCTCCTGCAAAATAAGAAAACCCCCACATCCCCGATTTCAGAGTGTGGCAGCTTCCACCAAGAGAAGCACAGGAGAGGCAACTGACACCCCAATGCTCAGCAGAGACACATCACACTCTCCTGTGCGGAATGAGTGTCTGCTACATCTAATGCTACAAATGAGCACAGGAGGAGGAAGGAGAGGCGCTCAAGCTTGGCAAGTCATCAGCCTCAAGCAAAACAAACATCCACTGACCAGAGCACCCCCACAAGAGCAGCAAGTAGGAGAAGCACACAAGCAAAACCTGCTGAGGAGCGCCGTGCCCCCACTAGAAGGGCAAGGCTGTGTCCACAGGGCTCTCTGCACAGGGCGTAAGTGGGACTTGAGACAACCCAGCTTCGTGCCTGGACAAGGGTTCTAGTGGGGGCTTCTCGCACGGCTATGCCCTCCCTCTCTCGGAGCTGAGCGAGCTGGCGCCGAGGCTAGGTCTTACCTTGGACTGTCGGCATTAACTGCTGCAGAGGAACTCCTGTGCTCACCCCTGGGTGCTGGAAAACTACCCCTGGATGACCCACTTCAAGTCGAGGTCTCTTAGACTGCTCTAGAATAATTTCCAAAAAAGGTGCAGTTTGATATAAAAATAAACCACAAAAAAGTTTTTTAAAAAAGTGTTTTTATAATCTTTGAACAGGGAGGCCTTTTTATGTATGCAAGAAAAGAGTAGATAAATATTTCTTTTGGTTAAAAATCTGCCAATGTATGAAACCACCACAAAAAGATCAAGGACAAGCAACCGGTGAGGGTCAATGCGGCCGCGGGGGCAGAGCTGGCAGAGGGTCCTGGCGACCCGGGACAAGCACGGCGACCAGCAGACAACAGGCAGAGCGTGGAAGGCTGGCAGGAGCGGATTCACAAATGATCGACAGACAGGAAAAAGCACTGTGCGACCTTACTAAAAATCACAGGCAACCACACCGAAACAAAATGTCAACCATGACTTAAAAATTTATGTTACTAATAAAATGATCAATAATGAGAAAATGAGAAATCATTGATGGTAGAACACATTCCCTTTTTCTGACAGGCAAATAAACACATCCAAACCTGAACCATCAAGTACAAGAACGAAAGACTCTCCCCTCAGCACTCTCTCGGTGCACACGGCACTCTCCCCTCAGCACTCCCCAGTGCACACGGCACTCTCCCCTCAGCATTCTCTCGGTGCACACGGCACTCTCCCCTCAGCACTCTCTCGGTGCACACGGCACTCTCCCCTCAGCACTCCCCAGTGCACACGGCACTCTCCCCTCAGCACTCTCTCGGTGCACACGGCACTCTCCCCTCAGCACTCCCCAGTGCACACGGCACTCTCCCCTCAGCACTCTCTCGGTGCACATGGCACTCTCCCCTCAGCACTCCCCAGTGCACATGGCACTCTCCCTTCAGCACTCTCTCGGTGCACACGGCACTCTCCTGGTGCACACAGCACTCTCTCGGTGCACACGGCACTCTCCTGGTGCACACAGCACTCTCTTGGTGCACACGGCACTCTCCTGGTGCACACAGCACTCTCTTGGTGCACACGGCACTCTCCCCTCAGCACTGCCCAGTGCACACGGCACCCTCCCCTCAGCACTCTCTCAGTGCACACGGCACTCTCCCCTCAGCACTGCCCAGTGCACACTCACTATTATGCAATACTCTCACTTTGTAATTCATTCAATCCTCTGTTGACTCAACAGAAAAAAAATGTGGTAATAACAAATGAACACTACAATGATCTGCATGATAAAAATGGGTTGGGCACACAACAGAATACGGAACACCAGGCGGCCATCAAATAGCTATGTGACTTGGAAAAATGGCCTATAATGTTGCTATCTTAAAACAGCCAAAACATCATATATATTTGCACATTTGTATTTTTCCAAAACAACACACAGGACACTGCTTGTACGTGGCCAGAGGGACAAAGCATCAACAGTGGCAAATGCCCACTGTCAGAGTTGGCAGGCTTCACGCCAAAGGTGGACGTCAGCTTCTATCCTTCTAAGCTGTATGAATCTTGCCTTAAACTCCTAACACAATGACTAAAGAATCTGCTAATGCTCATGGAAAAATGTAATACATCTTTCCAAGGGACAAGTATTTAACTTAGTACACACAAACATTCACCTAAACATTTTGTTCAGCTGATAATCAACAAAAGGAAAATTAACACTGAAAGTAACTGCACTCTACAGAACTTGCTGAGAGCCACGTGGCCACTCTGTCGTTGGGGACGCCATCACCCGTGTCGGAGACACACCTGAGGCGGGCAGCGCCTGCTGCCTCTGGAACGGCTCTGTGTCCGCAGTGCTGCCGGCTCCTGCCACCAGGCTCCCTGCAAGGGCTGGCTGCTGAAAAAGAAAGAAAACAATCACTCTTACAGGCATTACAAAACGAGGGTAAACTAGCATTAGCGCAAAACTGACACTCTTAATATGAGAAATGGTATCTACTCAATGTCTCTAAATATACATTATGTAACATGTTTATGTATAATACACACTTGAAAGTTCTAACTTACCTCTGGAAGGAAAACTTATAAATGGAGCTTCCAATAAATGCACCCTAAGCTTCAGTGGGTGCCACCTGACTTGGCAAACCAAGTGGGAACAAAAGGCTGAGGAACTAGGCCCACTGACCAAGAACACAGCTTAAGTGACCTCCCCAGTATCACTGCAAGGAGTGACTGCATACCCAAGAAACAATCAAAATTAAGGTCAAATCACTTTCGCATTTGAAAATGATATTAAAACCCAAATAATAACAAAATAATTAACTTGGATCTTCAAAGTGGTATTTTTACAGTTAGCAATCTACTTGATATATAGCTATTTGAAAAATAGGTGTGTGTTATTTCAAATGTTTAGATAAAATGAAAGAAGCTAGTCACAAAGGCAACAGGCCGTATGACTCCATCTCTTCTAGGATAGCTTGTCTGATAAAGGCAACCCTAGAGAGACAACCAGCGTTACCAGGAGTTGAGGGGGTGGGGGTGTAGGGGTGGCATGTGGGTAAACAAAGCAGGGCTCTAGGGCAGGAAACTACTGTATCACTGGTGTGCTGGAGACGCACCACCATGGTCGCACGCCCGTGTCCACACCAGACTGCCCAGCACCAACAGTGAGCCTAATGGTGGCTCTACGTAACAATGACCTGCCAGCGGGGACTCAAGTGCAGAGTGGACAGCAAGAACTTGTGCATGGGGCAGCTGCTGGTGAAGAAAGACATACAGGTGGGGCACCTTCCTCTCAATTTTGCTGGGAAACTAAAACTTCTCCAAAAAATAGGATCTATTTTAACAAAGAAAAAAGGTGGTGGTGGGGGAATAGGTTTCGTGAGGACAGGAAGCAGCTGAGGCTTGGTCTGTGGATTTAACTACCCGGCTTCTCCACCTGTTACCTTGCAGCCATCAACACCAAGGACAGTGATACTGGTTTGCAAGATTATCCCTAAAGGGTGTATGTAATTCTAGCAACTCTTGGGGATGCATCTTAAGTACAAAAGTTATATATACCTAAACAAAACTTCAGCCTAGGGGCAAGGAAACTGAACCAAACGTTTTGAACTGCCAAAGGCTACTTCCTCAGCAACCCAAACCCTGTACTGACAGCTCACTCCTTGGGGAAAGGTCCTAAGGTACATGACAACAGCACCCCATCCACATCAAACAAAGCAGGACAGAGAGCAGGGGGTGCAGGGACCCTACAGGAGGGGAGAAAGCAGACATGGTACTCTAACTCCAGATGTCCAAATGTTCCCAAGAAAATGTCATCTTTACATCCAGTAACAACCAAGTCTAAACAAACACCCCAAATAACCAACAACTCTTAAGGAAACACTTAAAAAAGGCAAGGCAGATAGACGACACAGTGAGGAAATCCACACCTGGTGAGGGTCCCGGTCACCCACGCTGCAGCTCAAGCGTGTTGAGTCTCAGCAGCCCGAGAACGAAAGGAGGAGCTGACATGTTCTCTGCAGACTCCTGAATCACGCACAGACCCAAACCAAGGTGCAAACACCATGCTGAGAATCCAAGGCACTGCCCAAGCTCACTGATGAGTGTCTGAGCCCCAACTGTCCTGACATCATTGTGACCGTCCTAGATCCTACTATCTTGCGGCAGACGCCCAAAACAACCAACAAGCCAGTCTTGAGGCCCAATGGGGTAAGCCACCACCCACACTCCACGGCATCAGACGACCTGCTCGAGCCCACGCTGCTCTGCTCCGATCCAGTTCCCCTATACCTGGGAAAGCAGCAGCTGCCGGCCCACATACTTGAGCCCCTGCCACCCATGGGTGAGAATGAAGTGAATTCTTGGCTCCTAACTTCAGTCTGGCAGAGCCCTGACGTTATGACCACTGGGGGGAAAAATCAATAAAGGGCAGACCTCTCTCTGTTGCTATTTCAAATAACCTAAGGTTTTTGTAAGTCAGAAAAAAGGCACCCAACAGAAACCAAGCCAAACAAGATCCACATCCCACTATCAGGAGATGGAGTGCTGCTGCGGTTTCAACAAGCATGCTCAAGGCACAGTAACAGTCATGAAGACGACACGGCAACACAGCAAGCCAAGCCACTGCCTGCAGCACCACTGTCCCGTAAAGCACCTTGGAGAGCAGTGGGAGACGCTCACTGCACCCACAGGGCAGACCCAGACGAGGCTCCTGGCTCTGTGGCCGTTTCACGGGTGAACCAGTGGATTAAACATCTATCTTTCTCACACTGTCTCTTTCTCTCTCTCTGTAACTCTGCCTTTCAAATAAAGTTAATTCACTTAAAATTTTTAAAAGAAAGAGTTGGGCCCAGTGCAGTGGCCAAGCAGCTAAAGTCTTCGCCTTGAACGCACTGGGATCCCATATGGACACCGGTTCCAATCCCAGCAGCCCCGCTGTTGCCTGGGAAGGCAGTCGAGATCAGCCCAAAGCCTTGGGACCCTGCACCCTCATGGGAGGCCAGGAAGAGCTCCTGGCCCCTGGCTTCAGACAGGCGCAGCACCGGCCATTGCAGTCACTTGGGGAGTGAATCATCGGATGGAGATCTTCCTCTCTGTCTCTCCTCTCTATATATCCAACATTGCAATAAAAATAAATAAATCTTTAAAAAAAGAGAGACATCAGAACTGAAAAAATACAACATAAGTACTGAGTCAAACTCAACAGCAACAAGAGTATGTAGAAAAGTCAAAGGGCTCAGTACGGTGTTGGATAAGGATCAACAATGCTGTGAGACCGAACAGGACGCCAAGGACAGACCCACACCGACACAAGTCATGGAACGGGAACTTAATTAAAGAAATGGCCCTGCAAGAGAACGAGCAAACGGACAGTGAGCCAGCTGCCCACCCCTGACTTCCTGACACGGTTGGCTTCCAGTTTCCTAGGACACAGAGGCTGCTATTTACTGGAACTCCTCCAAATATCAGCATGATTTTCACTTACAACTACCTCCACCTGTGAAACACAAACAAGGAGCTGGCACCATGGCCTAGCAAGCTGATCTTCCACCTAAGGTGCTAGCATCCCACAAAGGCACTGGTTTGTGTCCCAGATGCTTCACTTCCAATCCAGATTCCTGCTCGTGGCTGCGGAAAGCAGCAGAGGACGGCCCAAAGCTTTTCATGCATGGGGGAGGCCCAGAAGAAGCTTCAGACTGGGGAATGAGCCAGTGCATGGAGCATTTCTCTCCTCTCTCCTGTATCTGTAACACTGACTTTCAAGTAAAATAAGTAAGTCCTTAAAAAATCAGTAAAATACAAATTAAACTTAACTAAAAATCATTATTGCAGTTCTTTTAAAAGAAAAAGCTTACCCAGAGAAGAGTGCCCTGGCAAGAACGCAACCTAAGGTGCCCCTGCTGAGAGACTGCCACCTGAAAGCAAGGGGAAGGCGAACCATGTACAGGGAGCGTACCGACGACGGCAGAGAACAGCTCAGAGAGTCAGTCACGTTCACCTCACACACGTCTGCTCCCAGGAAAGGAACAAAGTTTATTCCAGAAGAAGAAATTAAGGGCAGCAGACAGCAGCAGCTCCTAGAAAGCAAACTTTCTGCCCACCTGGTTTTAAGGTTTGTTTTTTTTTTTTTAAAGATTTATCTATTTCTATTAGAAAGGCAGATACACAGAGAGAAGGAGAGACAGAGAGGGAGACCTTCCATCTGCTGGCTCACTCCCTAAGTGGCAGCAATGGCCGGAGCTGAGCCAATCTGAAGCCAGGAGCCTCTTCCAGGTCTCCCACATGGGTGCAGGGTCCCAAGCCTTTGGGCTGTCCTCCACTCCTTTCCCAGGACACAAGCAGGGAGCTGGAGGGGAAGCGGGGATACAGACGTGTCCATACAGGATCCCAGTGCATACAAGGCGAGGATTTAGCCACTGAGCAACTGCACTGGGCTAATATTTATCCCCTGCTTAAATAAACGATAAATAAAAGAGCAAATTAACAGGAATAATGCCTTCTATAAAATTGGGTTCTCATACTCTAGAGATGGAGTGGCATCAAACCCAGGGAGCACACCTTTTGCCAAACCCTTCACTGCCACACTTGCAGGTGGTCTGAATTCAAGTTTCTAGAAGCCTCTCCACACTGACCCCAGATGGCAATCACTGAGAAAGTAGCAAGTATGTGTGAACAAGGTGACACTTCATGCCTCTAATGGTGTGAACACACGTAACACAAACAACGGCTCAGTCACAGAGCCACAGAAAAAGACTTCTTTTCACTGACATAATCACTGTAAAAGACTTGCTGATCAGGACAGCATCACATCCTGCAGGCTACGGGCATCCGGACGCAGTGCCTGGGGACACCCAAGAAGCATTCTGGGCTTCGGCGCAGCCCAGCCCAACTCCAGTGTTGATCTGGGCAGTCAACTAGGGAATGAGAATACTCATTCTCTCTCTCTGCCTTGCATAGAAGAAATAAATTTTAAAAATTTAAAATATAAATAAATGTACAAAGGAGCAAATGTTCAGCCTGGTAGTTAAAACAGATTCATGCGGCTCATGTGGGCCCGGCACACCAGCCTGGCGGTTAAAGTCCTCACCTTGCATGCTCCAGGATCCCATATCGGCACTAGCTTGTGGCCTGAGAAAGCAGTCGAGGACGACCCAATGCCTTGGAACCCTGCACCCACGTGGGAGACCCGGAAGAGGTTCCTGGCTTCGGATCAGCTCAGCCCTGGCCGTTGTGGTCACTTTGGGAAGCAAACCAGCAGATGAGGGATCTTCCTATATGTCTCTCCTCTCTGTAAATCTGACTTTCCAACAAAAATAAATTTAAAAATTCATGCCACACATCAAACTATCTAGATTTAACTCGCAGCTACAACAGCAGACTCCAGCAGTCAGCCAA